GGATGCAGGGTTACCTATTAGTCTCTCGCCTATTTCCCTGTACGATGATCTAAACCTTATAAGCTTCAAATACACTGAGCAAAAATTAAATGTGGTACGATTTAAAGATCTTTTTTAGAATATATTATATGCACACAGGATTGGCCTGTACCCAGTCGTAGAGGAAGTCGAGAAGACCCTGGAAACCGTAGACGGGTTCCGCTTGAGACAATTATGTGATGTAAAACGCCAACTAAAACAAGACCGCAACACGCGGAAAGCACTATGCAAGAAGTACCATAGAGCTTTCAATATCGTGGATGGAGCGGATACTGTCCTTACGACAACCAGCATGGGACTAGGGGCGGCAGGTGTTGGGTTGTAAGCCACCATCGTGGCCGCACCTATAGTGCTAGGCATTGAAATAACAGCTGGGATGGTAAGGGTGGCAGGGTTGGTGTTTAAGTTTGCATCCTGCAGACTGCACCGTAAAGTGTTGAAACACGACGAGATCAGGGCAAAGCTGAACACAGTAAGTGAGCGTATTTCCACAGCCCTCACTGACAGTAAGATCTCAGAGGAGGAATTTCGTTCAATCCTCTCTGAACTCGACAAGTACCGTAAGATGAAACAAGAAATCCGGTCCAAGTCTCGTAAGTCTGCTATCAGCGAAGACGAGAAAAAAAAGTACACAGAACAGGGGGTACGAAAAGCCCAGCAAGCCTTCATTGCGAACACCAAAGAGATCATAGGCGATTCACATTAAACTGTTTCTTTGAAGTCAACATAACATAGAGCCATCACGTGACCAGGAAAGTGCTAGTTCGCGGTCATACATAGTGACCGGGAAGTTAACTGGGGATTCAAATTCGCGGTCATAGTGATCGGAAGTTAACTGGGAATTCAAAAGTAGTATATGCAATGGCGGCGAGGTCTAAGGGCCTGACAAAAACTTTATTTATGAAATAAAGCTTTACAGCGCCCTTTCTTGGAATTGATCTCTGACTATCATAGTATATACTACTAGAGCTCCTGTACGCAAACATATAATGTTTTTAATTTCACCTGCTATGCCATGGACACCTTTTGATATTGCAAACGGATTTAGCTTCAATGGAGTTTTATCAAGAGTCTCAAGAATGAGAAAACGTGGCCAGTAATCAACGGATGTTGAGGGTCGCTGTTCGTCGTCATCAGTATCGAGTGGACGCTTCGTTTTTGTTTGGGGTTTCGTAAGCCATGTTGAGTTTATTTTGATTCGTCATCCGAGCTCCCCACCCACCACGAGTATCATAAAGACGATGCTGATCGCAAGTGGATTTCCAACTTGCAGCACCAAGGATACCCGGATGATATACTCAAGCAGAATAATCAACAAGTAATTATTCCACCTGATTGGCCCATGAGTCACTGCCTTCTGGTGGAAATAGGACTCTAGGCAAAATACTAAATTGGAGTTGTACAGTCAAAATACAAATATATTATCATGAAGCCGAGACAACTGACAAATGTTTCTAAATAATTTTAGAAATTTGTACAACAAAATTTACATGTACAGGGCTTAGCATGACCAGCCGATTGATAGAACCGGGCCAGTTCTACCACCCATCTAGGTGAAGAAAGGGGCGAAGTGGTGTGTTGGGCAAAGGAACGCTGTTCCTGGAACCAGTGCCCTCAACCACCAGACTTCCGTCCTCCACCAACACAGGGGCGCAACCCACGGCAAACGGATTGGTGGACAAAATATACTCCCGGGTCCACAACGGGGGTTTGAAGAGTGCTTAGTGTTACCCAGCATCCATCACGAGGAGGTGGCTCTTCACGGGTGCCTGCTTGTAAGAGTTACAACTGTCACATGAAGAGGGATAATGTCGTCCAATGTAATTACTTGAAGGACACTTGCTTGTTAGAGTTACAACTGACACATGAAGAGGGATAATGTCGTCCTATGTTATGACATGAAGGACACTTGCTTGTTAGAGTTACATCTGACACCTGAAGAGGGGTAAAGGTCGTCCTTTGTAATGACATGAAGGACACTTGCTTGTAAGGGTTACATCTGACATATCAAGAGAGGTAATGTTGTACAATGTAATGACATGAAGGACACTTGCTTGTAAGAGTTACATCTAATATATGAAGAGATCATGTCCAATGTAATGGCATATGGTAATGATGTTGAGTACAAGCTATCATTGTGTATGAATTGTCTTGTTTGAACAATTGATGTTACAAATATATTGTATACAGGGTTAGGGTTGTACACTTATCCTCCTGACCCTCTGCTGTGCAGGGTTAGGGTTGTACACTTATCCTCCTGACCCTCTGTTGTGCAGGGTTAGGGTTGTACACTTATCCGCCTGACCCTCTGTTGTGCAGGTTTAGGGTTGTACACATATCCTCCTGACCCTCTGTTGTGCAGGGATAGGGTTGTACACTTATCCTCCTGACCCTCTGTTGTGCAGGGTTAGGGTTGTACACTTATCCTCCTGACCCCCTGTTGTGCAGGGTTAGGGTTGTACACTCATCCTCCTGACCCTCTGTTGTCCAGGGTTAGGGTTGTACACATATCCTCCTGACCCTCTGTTGTCCAGGGTTAGGGTTGTACACTCATCCTCCTGACCCTCTGCTGTGCAGGGTTAGGGTTGTACACTCATCCTCCTGACCCTCTGCTGTGCAGGGTTAGGGTTGTACACTCATCCTCCTGATCCCCGGTTGTGCAGGGTTAGGGTTGTACACTTATCCTCCTGACCCCCTGTTGTGCAGGGTTAGGGTTGTACACTTATCCTCCTGACCCCTGTTGTGCAGGGTTAGGGTTGTACACTTATCCTCCTGACCCTCTGCTGTGCAGGGTTAGGGTTGTACACTTATCCTCCTGACCCCCTGTTGTGCAGGGTTAGGGTTGTACACTCATCCTCCTGACCCCTGTTGTCCAGGGTTAGGGTTGTACACTCATCCTCCTGACCCCCTGTTGTCCAGGGTTAGGGTTGTACACATATCCTCCTGACCCTCTGCTGTCCAGGGTTAGGGTTGTACACTCATCCTCCTGACCCCTGTTGTGCAAGGTTAGGGTTGTACACTCATCCTCCTGACCCCCTGTTGTCCAGGGTTAGGGTTGTACACTCATCCTCCTGACCCTCTGTTGTGCAGGGCTAGGGTTGTACACTTTTCCTGCTGACCCTCTGTTGTCCAGGGTTAGGGTTGTACACTCATCCTCCTGACCCTCTGCTGTCCAGGGTTAGGGTTGTACACTTATCCTCCTGACCCTCTGTTGTGCAGGGTTAGGGTTGTACACTCATCCTCCTGACCCTCTGCTGTGCAGGGTTAGGGTTGTACACTCATCCTCCTGACCCTCTGTTGTGCAGGGTTAGGGTTGTACACTCATCCTCCTGACCCCCGGTTGTGCAGGGTTAGGGTTGTACACTTATCCTCCTGACCCTCTGTTGTCCAGGGTTAGGGTTGTACACTTATCCTCCTGACCCCCTGTTGTGCAGGGTTAGGGTTGTACACTTATCCTCCTGACCCTCTGTTGTGCAGGGTTAGGGTTGTACACTCTCATCCCTCCTGACCCCCTGTTGTTGTGCAGGGTTAGGGTTGTTAGGGTTGTACACTCATCCTCCTGACCCTCTGTTGTGCAGGGTTAGGGTTGTACACTCATCCTCCTGGGTTGTCCAGGGTTAGGGTTGTACACTCATCCTCCTGACCCCCTGTTGTGCAGGGTTAGTTAGGGGTTGTACACTTATCCTCCTGACCCTCTGTTGTCCAGGGTTAGGGTTGTACACTCATCCTCCTGACCCCTGTTGTGCAGGGTTAGGGTTGTACACTCATCCTCCTGACCCTCTGTTGTCCAGGGTTAGGGTTGTACACTCATCCTCCTGACCCCTGTTGTGCAGGGTTAGGGTTGTACACTTATCCTCCTGACCCTCTGTTGTCCAGGGTTAGGGGTTGTACACTCCTGATCCTCCTGACCCTATCTGACCCCCTGTGTGCAGGGTTAGGGTTGTACACTTATGTACACTTAGGGTTGTACATCCTCCTGACCCCCTGTTGTGCAGGGTTAGGGTTGTACACTCATCCTCCTGACCCTCTGTTGTGCAGGGTTAGGGTTGTACACTCATCCTCCTGACCCCTCTGTTGTGCAGGGTTAGGGTTGTACACTATATCCTCCCCTGACCCTCTGTTGTGTGCAGGGTTAGGGTTATCCTCCTGACCCTCTGTTGTGCACATTATCCTATCTGACCCTCTGTTGTGCAGGGTTAGGGTTGTACACTTATCCTCCTGACCCTCTGTTGTGCAGGGTTAGGGTTGTACACTCATCCTCCTGACCCTCTGTTGTGCAGGGTTAGGGTTGTACACTTATCCTCCTGACCCTCTGTTGTGCAGGGTTAGGGTTGTACACTTATCCTCCTGACCCTCTGTTGTGCAGGGTTAGGGTTGTACACTTATCCTCCTGACCCGCTGTTGTGCAGGGTTAGGGTTGTACACTTATCCTCCTGACCCTCTGCTGTCCAGGGTTAGGGTTGTACACTCATCCTCCTGACCCTCTGTTGTGCAGGGTTAGGGTTGTACACTTATCCTCCTGACCCTCTGTTGTGGAGGTTTAGGGTTGTACACATATCCTCCTGACCCTCTGTTGTGCAGGGTTAGGGTTGTACACCTATCCTCCTGACCTTCTGTTGTGCAGGGTTAGGGTTGTACACTTATCTTCCTGACCCTCTGTTGTCGAGGATTAGGGTTATACACTTATCCTCCTGACCCTCTGTTGTCCAGGGTTAGGGTTGTACACTTATGTGATGCTGACATCAACATGCTGAAGTTTGTATTATCAGAAAAAAAAAAAATTGAAATTTCACGTTTGCTTATTTTCAAAAGAATCTGTCTTTAATGATCAAAATCTGTAATGAAAGGGTTGTTGGACATTTACTGTAAGGTACATGTTACTCTAGAAGTATATTCCAGGGTTAACCTGTGACATTACACTTTCTCAGTATGGTACAGATTCTAGTAATTGTCTTACTTACTCTGACGACTTCTCTGCTGCCATCGTTCTTTGTGTTGGGAATATTCATTCCAAAACTGTAACAAAGATAATGTACCTACTGAATATCATGGGAACTGTTACCACCCCACGGGTAATATTGTTTGGATGAAACAGGAGGAGACATCCCATCAGTGAATTGTATCGCAATGTTATGGAGGCCATTGTGACTTCATGCCCAATCATCAGATGCCACAGTGATGTGATATCACTTGTCACTAAGCTCTGTCAGCAGCTTCTGAAGCTGGGTAGCTTTACTTTTTGAACTCATGATAGGTATAGTTACTGTTCATACACTGGTTTAAGACGATGAATAGAAAGAATATAACCACGTGTTGCCTTCCACTGATTTACTTGACAATAAGGAGACAAGTGGGGCCGACTGACTGTATCATGTTTAGATCTATTCATAAAGATTCAGAGTGACAAAAAACTCTCAACAAGGCATGACAAAAGGGATCATTTCATCTTTATAATAGTCAACTTCTCTTTCATGTCGAGCAATATTCCAACAGCTCCAGCCTTTAATGGTGTTTACATTTTGAGGTACAATTAAACGTGCTCTTTTCATAAGGATTTCAAAGAGCGTCATGCCACTCTTGCTCAGTTGTTTGATCAAGGTTTCATTATTCCTGACCTCAGTAAAGCTGCTATGAAGGGTTTTTTTCGTAGACAATTGGAGAAAATTTCAAATTTGATGCATCAGTGACAAAAATGATGTCCGATGCGACTCACTGTTCCCGAATTATTTCAGGTGAACAATTGACTAGACTAGCATATGTTTATGACGGATGTCACCGGTGGGGCAGGATACGCCCACCTTGTCGTGACCACCTGGTGTCATCACTATTTCATAGTGATTCATACACACATGCTCTGTCATACCATCGCATGGTGACAATCACTGGATTGTCAGGTTCAGACTGCTGAAACAAATGTCTGCTCATGATATAGTCACAACTGTACAATCGATTCTCACATACATAAAATCAGGGCTCCAGATAATGTTTCAACATCAGGAGTATGTAGGCCTACTCCTTATTTTTTCAATACAGGAGTAATGGAAAACCATAAGAACTTATTTAGAGTACTGAATGGAATTTAATGGCGTATGAGTAATCTTGTGTTTCGTTTCAGATATGCACCACAACATCGCTACTCTTGGGTAAACAGGTCAATAAACAATAAAACAATAATTTTTCAGATAAATACGTCTGTAAATGATTCTAAGACCGTACACCATTGCTGTGGTGCGTATCTGCTACGTTTTCTAAATTATTTCCTACCATATCGAGCATATTTTGTATCCGTACATACGTCGATAGGGCCCTTATCTGGAGCCCTGAATAAAATTTGTGCTGGAGTATTGCTTCAAACAGCCGAAAGAACATGGGTTGCACACATTCAATCTATGGGGTAAATGAAACAGCCAAAACATTGACCACTGGGCTACCTGACAGCCTCCAGTACCGAACTTGAGGTTATGTATCTTCTCAATGCTAGCGTCAAACGCATTCGACAGGAATGTAGCATAATGACATCCCCAAATATTACTTTGACCTACATATATGAACCTAGACTAAGGCTTAGTCTCTGAATATATATAATTTTGATAGTAACAAACAAGCCCATTTATATTGAAAAGGAGCCCTAGGGAGACCAGAGATTCAGAACCTGAGGAAATCTAGACTTGCTTTATTTAGGGCTTTAGCACTGCAGAGAGGGCTTGGCAGTAGGGAAATTAATGTGGTTCAGGGACTGTGAGACAGACTAATATGAACCTTATCCCCATGGAGTTGAGATTGATAATATGACGTGCCGTTGAGATTGACATCCAGTGATCGAGGCAAAAACAAAGCGCCTTTGAGCAGCTGAGCTGGATATCGGGGCTATAGATCTACACATCATGTGTGTGTGTGTGTGTGTGTGTGTGTGTGTGTGTGTGTGCGTGCGTGCGTGCGTGCGTGCGTGCGTGCGTGCATTACCTCTTTACAAGGTAGTATTTACTTGTCATGGAATGCATTCTCTCTAACTATATAAACTGTAAGTAGATTACGTACCTTAAAACGAAAAGTCCGAGAATTATAAGCGTATTGGCCAAATTCTTCTGCACACAGCCACCCGCAACCGCCATTGTTGATCTAGGGTACTGTTACGTCGACGATGACTTAACACGTCATCACTGGCCGCATGGAACTCTGGGTATGAGATGTATAGATCTAGGATGAAACTCGGGCGCGTTGAATCGCTGTGCCACGCTGCTTGCTTTCCCCGTAACGGACTGCTCTATGAGCGCTTCATTCAATGTGGCATCGCCCAATGCAACATATCACCCATACTAGCCACACTTTTGGCAGACGAAGCTGCCCTAGATATTTCTTGCAATAATTTTTAATATGCGCAACATCTCACGAAAAGACGATCTAAGATACATTTCGAAAGCTTTTTACCAGAACCCCTCAAAAACATCTACCGTCAAAAAAAATGTCGTTCATAACTACGACGATGTTGCCTTCAGATCACACTACAGAAAGACCAGATCATCTGTAGAGGCACTAATACATGATAATAAATGTATTTAATTATAAACATATAATTCATAATGATAATTATAAATAATTATCGCGCTGGAGCGCTCCCGCTGACTGGTCATATCACTGCCTCGGTAACGCTCCACTGCGCTCGTGGGTCACGAGATCATTACCCATAGGCGCCCGACTCTGATATATTTATAAGCATGACCTATATATATAAGATATAACACTATATCTTATATATATAGGTCATGCTTATAAATATATCAGAGTATGACAAGTAAATACTAAGTATGTCCTTTTTATAAGCATGACCTATATATATAAGATAGTGTTATATCTTATATATATATAGGTCATGTTTATAAATATATCAGTGTAGGGCGCCTATTTCATTACCCTAGCTCATTGCATGCCAGTTTGTAACATGTTTAGTCGAAAATGTGCGCCCGGAAAATTGCACTACTCTCCAAATTACATATGTGAAGCGTTCCCACCTCAAGCACTTTACATTGTGGCATCGTACGTTTTCGATATATCTAGGTGTGTTGCGCCACTAAAGTCTTATGTATTGTATCCGTATGCTTGTTTGTCCTTCATCCATCAGTGTACAGCCTATAATTGTGTACACTATTGTTACCGAAAGGAAATCCTACTTCTCATGAATTGGTGTCTCAGTTTGCTCAAATCATGAAACATTTATTGAAATGATTTGTTTCCTGTAGCTTTACTCAAGTCAATCAGAATATATTATAAGTCAATCAGAATATATTTCAGAATATATTATAAGTCAATCAGAATATATTATAAGCCAATCAGAATATATTATAAGCCAATCAGAATAAGATATAACACTATCTTATATATATAGGTCATGCTTATAAGCATTATAAGTCAATCAAAATATATCATAAGTCAATCAGAATATATTATAAGTCAATGGGAATATATAATTCCAATATTGTTTTAGGTGTTAATGGGACATATTGCTGACAAATCTCCATATATGCGGACAGTATCACTACAAAAGAAAACTTTAGCTGCTTTGTGGATCATAGAAATCAGGAGTCTTGTCGAGGTGTTGGGGACCGGTTTGTCATAGAGGGGGAAAACTGCAGAGAGTCTTTAAATGCTTCTGTCAGACTGTCCTGGTGATGAGAGGTGAATATATCAAATGGCCATCAAGGAGGATTCGATTATAAATATTCTAGAATTGGAATAAAGGTGGAGCAATCCTAATACAGTCGCTGCTATTGATTGTGTACCCGTCAAACCACCTAATCAGAACACGGGTCGTTACATAAGCAGGAAGGGTAAAGCTTCCATTAAGACTCAATCTGTGTGTGATCAGAAATTCCGTTTTATGGACATTTACAGTGGCTGGGTTGGTTGTTAAAGAACCAATAAACTTTGTTTTTTTTGTTACTCTTTAAACCATTACATATGAAAGATTTGTGGTTAGTCTTATGCGGAACACCAAATTTATTCTTTAAAAACTTGTGGTTAATTAATACCGAGCGATTAAATATGGCCAAAAAGTCGCCTGCTTCCCTCTCGCCCGCCAACGAAATGACAGACAGGTTACGTAACTCTGTCGCCAGAGCACTGTAGTGACGTCATATGAGGAACGATTTTCAGTTAGTTGTATAGAAAGTGTGTAGCACGCTCATCATTTTGATGATTTCTCGACATCAACGACGACATGCCGAATCGTTGTTTTGTCGTTAATTGCTCCTAGGGGTCGGGCGATGGTGTCCCCATGCACAGATTTCCACAGGACCCCGCAGTTCGTGCTAAATGGGTTATGTTTGTGAGTCCGAAGCGAGCATTGTGGAAGCCTGAAACGATATCTTACTTGTGTTCAAATCGCTTCACGGAAGTTAAAGAATCAAAACTACTTACTAGTTGTATTAAAATATGTATATGATTGATGACCATAAAGATTTTCCATGACACAACTAGTAACATAACGATTTCTTCCTCGGAAGTGAGGTTGTGGTCGAAGTAACAATAATATTGTAAGTAGTATTATATTGACACCCACCTAGCTGCCAGGAGAGAAATTGTTATGTTATACGCTATGCCATGCAAAATCCTATTGGCCATCAATAAAATACATATGTTACTACCAGTAGAAAGTAGTTTTGATTTCGTAACTCAGTGAAAACAAACCTAAATAACATGTATCCTCAGACTGGCGGATGTTCCCGACAGGGCGTTTAATGAGATTATAGTTTGTTTTCATCAAGTTAGAAAATCAAAACTACTTTCTACTCGTAGTTAAATATGTATTGGAATCATAATCAAATGGATTTTGCATGACACAACTTATAACATAACGATTTCTTCCACGGAAACGAGGTGGGGGTCGAAGTCACAATACTGCGCGATAAATTTCTTACTACATTCACATGGTTAATGTCCACTCACCAGTATGTAGATACTAGTCAATGTGCGTCTTTATATTTGGCTTATAATCCTAATTAGTTTATTATCATACTTGTATGCATTTTGAAACTAAATAAAAAGCAGACGATCTGCTGATACTTATAGTGAATTTATAACAGAACTGTAATATCTAGACATTTTATAGTTTGCCAATGTGAATCATAATTCGCACACACACCCTAGTGTATGTCTCATTACACTTCACGGCGAAAACAATGATTCTGTTGAATGCTACGACAAATGAATAAAAAACAAAATGCAAATATTAAAATTAAAACAGATTAAAGTTATAGGAACAATATCAGGCCATTACCTTGTTTGAGGAATGTATCCATCAATATCCACAAAACTGTTCCAAATGATGTGTCTTTTAACAGTTTAATATACGAAAAAGTGATAAATCTTTTCAGGTATTGGTGTATAGTCTCATTGGTCACCCAAGATAGCACACCTGGCAACTAATTGCATAATGTCCGCCTTTCTTTAAAAACAGTAATTTAGTTAGCCAATAATGGGCAATCAATCAATGTATTGCCGGTTAATCCTTTGAAAGAAGGACGTTGTTTTTACGCAGACACCGACACGGCAGAGTGTATTCAGTATAGATTAGTAAATCTACATACATAAACACTACCTTTTGACAATTCCGCTGTGTAAGATAAAAGTAATTAAACAATCGGTTAATCCTTTGATCGATGTTTATAATGTTGAATATTTACTCCAGACACAAGAAATGCCAAATGGGAACCTTTGTCGGGTAATCTAAGTGCGTTACCACTAATTATACCTGTTATAAATTCATTAACTGACCATCAAGTGAATGATGACAAATAACATGTGTAGGTTTATACCACCTAACACGGGTTACAACAAGGGAGTATTAATTGCTGTATTGCATGTGAAAACTTATGGGCCGACACTGTTTTGAGAATACAAACAGATTTTGACATGACATGATTAAATATCGAGGTAAAAAAACACAGAAATGGGATAAATTTGGATCAGTCATTATACAAATAGGGCCTAACGACACCAATCGATTTTGACAGAATCGTCTATAAAAACAAGTTGTAACTCGGAAACTAGGCAAAGCAGGAGACAAAATTAAATGACAGTAGATTGTGAGAACATATAGCTTTCATTTTCCACAACAATTGTCACGATTTCAGGTTTATACAGGCCTGTAAACAAGATAATTTACCCCCTAAAATGTAGATGAATTCTGAATCGGCCTTCAAAGCTATTCCTCATATGACGTCACAGAGACGCGCCGCTCTGGTTGGTTGAAATTTCGTTCGCGAGTGAGAATTGTGCACTGTTGTCAAAAAGGTCGATTTAAGTCAATTAAAGGTCGAAATGAGTAGTTTTAATGACGGGGTTTCATTTAAAACGATGCCAGTTAGTGATTTATGCATTTGTACCCCGTAGGGTATATGTGATCTTTAACGATGGTTCTGAAACAGCCCATTGCTTTACATCTTGCTCCTCAAGATTTCTTGCCAAAAAATGCTCACATCATAGGGAATGGTGTTTATCCACTGCAGATCGGGCAGATGACCCCATTGAAGGATAACGGTCATTTAGCGACTTTCAGTTCAGCTCGATCAGTGATTGCAAGAAGCTTTGCTCTACAGAAGGGTAAATGGAGAAGACTCCCATACTTGGACAAGGAGTTGATGGACAAGCTTCCCAGAGTCATTATAACAGCTTGTGTTCTTCACAACTTGATTATCGACTTTGAACAGATAGAAGACAATGATATTCTTGCTGATAGGGATACCCAGGAGGGTCAACATGAAGTTCTTGAGGATGTAAGAAATGCATGGAATCAGGTTTACATCATTTATGCAAGTTGCAACTCTGTGTCATGCCCCTTAGTCTTTGTCCTTCATCCACCTAGGGTCCATGTATTTAGCAAAGGTACTGTAAGTCCTCATGGTCCCTAGTATGGCGATCTACCTTCAGTTGTTGGTGATCTATAGCCCGGTTTTTATATTGTATTGTCCTGGATTGTAATACATGTTTTATGCTTACAAGCTAGTTTTAACTTTCTATCTGTGATAGCCTAGTTGTTTTACTGTCCTTTGTTGACAGATTTGATCAAATAACTTCTCTCTATTATTACAGTATATGTTGTAATAGTCACGATATGAGGGGCGGTGGGGTAGCCCAGTTGTTAAAGCGTTGGCTCGACCAGCGGAAGATCTGGGTTCGAATCCCCTCATAAGTACAATGTGTGAAGCCCATTTCTGGTGTCCCCCGGCGTGATGTTGCTGGAATATTGCTAAAAGAAGCGTAAAACCAAATTCAGTCAGTCACGACATGGCTGCAATATTGCCAAAGTGACTCTAAATCGTAACTCACTCACTCACTCACTCTTTGTCCTTCTGCCTGATTGTTGAGCACCTGCTATGTAAGACCACGTTCCATCTCCTCAAGGCGAAGGTGTTGGAGGAACTGAATCGTCGCCCCTGAATCGTCGCCCCTGGCCCCTGCAAGAATACAGACAAACTTTGAGGTTGCCACCATCAGAACCATCGAGACGGAGTTTCCAAATGTCCAGACCAAGGGATGTTACTTCCACTTCTACCAAACCCTGTGGAAGAACACTCAATAACTAGGTCTCCTAGTTGCAGACAAGGAGGATCCAACTGTGAAGCAATTCATCAGGAGGGCAGCTGCCCTTACCTTTCTTTTTCAGGAACGGGTTCAAGACACCAGGATTGATGCCATGAACTCCTCAGATTTTCTTGTGATTAAATAAGGACTGTTGCTTTATAATGTGTAGGTAACAGGTACTAGCTGATCTGTTCCTTGAACCGTACATGTTGTTTTACACCGCACTCAGCAACAATATAATATGTCTGCGATCAGTAAATAATGAACCAGACATTCCAGTGATCAACAGCATGAACATCGAGCTTCTTAACTTGGACAGGATGACAGGTGTCAACCAAAGACGTTTATACGTCCTTGTGTCAACCAAGTCACCGAGCCGGATTGTGACAGGGCTGTCAGTGAAGTTCAAGTGAAGTGTTCAAGTGAAGTGTTATGAGATTCTGTTAGCAACATTAAGAATTTCACACACACACACACACACACACACACACACACACACACACACACACACACACACACACACTACACAAACACTTAGATATTGAATTTGATAAATAGAGCTATGAATGTGTCTTCAACTTGTGTGTTATTAATTTACTCATTGTTTTCAAATAAATTTTGCTGCGATTATTTCATTGTTGCAGTGTGTTTAATGTTTGTTCTGTTGAATTGTGAATGACTGATATCTATAAGGAACCATACCAAAGATGACAAGTCTGAAACTTCCGGCTGAAAAATCACCAAAGAGTTCCTTAAAACTAAGTTTTCATTAAGTTGATATTATTGGTAAACTCTACAAGTGTAAAGTTTCAGAGAAAAGTGAGTTAGATTACATCCATTGGTAATGCGATATCTTTAACACAAAAAATATCTCCAGTGACATCCTGTCCGAGTGCCTCAACTGGAACATATTAAAGAGTGAGTGAGTGGTTTTATGCCGCATTTAGCAGTATTCCAGCAATAGGACGGCGGGGACACCAGAAATTGACTTCACTCATTGTACCCATGTGGGGAATCGAACCTGGGTCTTCGGGTCACGAGTGACCACCACTCCTACATATTAAAGATGGTTATTCATAAGTTACTAGGCCCTACTCGAAACATTCGTAGCCGTAAGAATTCTTATCTTTGATCGTAGTCTATGTGTTAAGAATGGGCTTAAGGAGTTCGTAGTGCTACGAAAGTTTTGAGAATAGCTAGCCAGGTTGACAGTTGAAATCTGACCCACAATTGTTCATGGAAATGTTCCATAACAACTCTTAACAATGGCTCCTCAACACAAATGCTCAAATGTTCAAGGAAATATTCCAGAACAAATCTTTAATGATAGTCCTCTTAATTAAGTATCCATACACAATCAAGGTGTTTGGCAACTGCTGTACAACTGTTGGAGTACTTTTGATAACTTCCAGACAATAATTTCCAAGGTAAAGGTCATTTGAGATATAAATGCCAAATTCTTTGCATTAATTTCTGTTATGGCTGAACTGTGACACTTTATATTGTGTCCTCTTGGATTCCAGTTTCAAGAAGTCAACGAACACCTGTTTTTAACACGTCCAATGTATTCTGTCATGTAAATTGAGTCATGTTTAAAAACATACGGTCATAGGAAAATACCATGAGAGAGGAGTTGTTGGGGCAGAATAGCTTGACCTTCAACTTTATTTGTGTAGCATACGCATGAAGAAGAACCAACACTAAACACTAAAACGAAGAAAGATAGTTTATTGCACTACACTGCAATGATACACACCCCACAAATGTATTATGACGTATTCATAAAGGAAACATATTTCATACAAGGGAAACAACTTATTTGACAGGTGTTTCCTAGATGTAGACAGATGTCAAGACGGACCAAAACTTGTGGATAACAACTTCTGTATTTAGTACTGTAATAGTGACAGTTAGGTATAGACTATTTGACTGGAAAATGAACACCATACAGAATTATATATAGCAGACAAGGGATTAACATTAACAATACTTATACACAAGAAGGGTTAACATGATTAGGTCAACTGGTAACAGAAGGATAATATTGAAACAACATGGACAGAGAACATAGGGAAGCCAAATAAAGTGGATTAATAAGAGAAACTAATCACTGTGTCTAAAATATAAATCTGTGAATCATAATGTAAATGAATAGGAGAATCTAAATCCATCCTCTTCTACAAAATACTACACCATCCATGTTATTAATAATAACCAACTATATTATGTTAGAAATATAAGATATGCTACAGACAATTATATTGCACTATAAGCTCTCGCCTAAAAGTTTTGTTGTTGAAATAACGTAATGTAAATACCTCATGTTTTTGTGTATGCTATAGGATGAAAGTACATTTCAACAACCTAACTCACTGAGGTAAATGTTCCCAATTTGAACTATTATTGATCATCTTCTTCCAACACAATATCAGACCATATTATCCAAGTGCAACAGCAGCTTTTCCAACTCTGTATCCCTAAACAGATAACCAACTTATCAGATGACTTCTTCCCAAGGAAAGGGAGTTGACTACAGTTCGGTTTCCAACCTTGCCAAACTTGACAGGATGGATTGTAGTTCCAGCATATATATTGAGTTATGTCCCTTTGATCTCCCCTCTATTGTCCAATCAGATTCCACTTATCACATCACATGCATAGACTCAAACAAAATGGCTGCATGCATTCAAGACAATCTCCACTAAACAAAATATATATTGTAATGAAATTGGTCTAATCTTGCAAAGTGCATCAACTTGATTAAAAACATGAAAAGATTTGGAAGATATCTGCTGACACCAGATAATTGTATACAATTGTTAAATCATTCAATCAACTTGAATTTTCAGGGCAGTTTACAAATCAGATGTTGAATTTGTTCCATGATTTTGACTGGATTATGCATAGACTTGTTAGTCTAGTCAAAATATGATGAACTACCAGTCTTGAAAGACAAGGGTGGTAGGTGAACTTCAAACATCAGTTTACTCCATTGGAAGACTTCCTGGTGCAGGCAGGAATTACTTGATGGTGGAAACACAAGTTATAGTGTCCTCCACAGTAAATACTAGTACCTTCTGAAATTTACTTTTCATAAAGGTGACCGCTAGTGACATGGAACTTCAACAAATGATACAGTCAAAGCACACAAATGTATGAACATTTCTAACATTCAAGCAGATAACAGCAAAGCAAGGCATTTCTATAAAATGTCTGCATTCCAAAGGACAAAGTGGCAACAGCTTGTGAACAAATTTGTCAACAAAAACTGACAATAACTGATAAATATTATCTTCTGACATGATGAAAACACGTGGTTGACAAACAATTAACAAAAATTGAAAAACTTCATCTTAGACAAGGTGAAAACACTCGGTTGACATACAAATGACAAGAATCAAGAATCTTTCGTTTACATAATGTAAAAACATTTTTAAAAACAATTGACACAAATTAAATTATATTAGTTTTTGGGAAGGTGAAAACACCTTGCCGTCATACAACTGACAAGAACTGATAAGTGGTATTTTTTAAAAATGTAAAAAAAAGAACATTTTATTGACAAACAGTTGACAAGAAGTGATGAATACTGTATTTTAACAAGGTGCAGACATCTTGATCAAAATATTGCTTATAAGCGAGTGTAGATTATGTGTGTATTACAAAGTGGAAGAAGGCCCCATTTTGTTTAATGGATGGTATAATATGATAGGTTTTGAATGTTCTCAAAACTCTTTTGTGCATAATACTTAATGTAGTAAATATTTGACGGCAACCACTGTAAATATCTGGTGCATTGTACAGCTGTAATGTCATCACATATAAACCTGTATGTAAGTTAAATACTTATTAATGACACCCAATAGACTGTATTTGGTATCAGTTGTGAAATCTTTGTCTCAGAGCTTTTTAATATCAGACATTTCTTGACAAAAAAACAACCAAACTGGAAGACATTAATAGAAGGCACGCATTGAAAGCATGCACTGAAGGCACACATTGAAGGTATGCACAGAAGGCACACACTAAAGGCGTGCACAGAAGGCACAAACTGAAGGCACACACAGGCCAGTTACTTTGGTTTGACATTGATCACATATGAACCATTAATATCCTCCAACTGTTTCGAGCTGAAGATGATCACAATCTCTCGTTTGCCTTTCTTTTTTGGAGTCAGATCCACTGTTGTCATAAACGTCTGCTTTGGACCAACAGGACTGAAAGCAAAGAGTATATGTTTATATTAACTGTTGTTTTATAGATGTGCCTGATGTGAATATTAGGGCTGTGCAATATTACCGGTATACTGGTATATACCGCTACAGTATCTTGCGATATGATTATCGCGATATGGTTCAGATTCTGCAATATATTGGGTCATCCAGAGTTAGCTCCATTTGAATTATCTGCCCTTGATTTCCATAGCAAACAAATGTACTCTAAAAGTGACAAATATACTTTTATTTCTGTTGGTTTCATGCAATATTTACCAAGTGGAAGTGTCATTATAAGTGGCTCCAAAATTGCCAAATAGTCTACCAAATACTTTATGTTTTGTGGGTTTGAATGGTTTCATTTGAAGGAATTTTTAAAGTGGCCTCAAATGGACCAATTTTTATTTGGACTTATTAGTAGAGTCTCTGGCTCTGAGTGACCATTTCACAGTTCACAGTATTTGGTTATTTTTGTTTGTTTCATCATGGGGCGTATGATATCAATTTATCAATCAGGCCTGAGTTTTAGAAAAATTGTAGGACTGTATAATGACATTCCAGTCAAGGATCTTAACTATTGGAGGTCACATGCGATTTTGATCTCAAGTAGTTCAACTAAATCTTGTTTTTGTTTCATTTGGCAATAGTTCATGTTAACACATTGAATCTGAATGAATCACATACAGTAACAATAATTGCATACTGCACTGAAGTGCATTCTGTTTAAGTGAACAACACTGACTATGAAAATCATGTTATACTGTTACCTTTATCATTATGTTCGCAAAACGTTGGTGCAATATATTCCACATTAAGGCTCTATATTATTTTATTCATCTGTAAACGATTGGCATACAGCCATACACAATGGGGACAGGGAGCCTGAAAGTATGATGTAACAGCGACTAAGAAGATAATGTCGCACACAGAGAGCTATTATGACTTTATGATGTACGCACTTGGGCAGAAACCTTCCAGTCAATATAACACAATATGTATTGCAATATCTCTTAAATTATTGCAATATATCGCAATATGAAAATCAGGGCAATATCCAGCCCTAGTGCATATAATCATATTTTATATTTCAGTGGAATGTTGATAGAAATGTTTTAAGACCGCTGTTGTGGGTGGTGGATGAATATTTGTTCGCCAGCAATTTTTGCTGGGGTCTATAGATGGAGCACCACACATTATGTATCCAAAAGCATGAAAAATTCTTCCTATAATCAAAAGAAATACATTGTATGGAATAAACCAAACTTCATTTTTCTGATTCCCGATATGTCACGAGCAAGAGCTCATAATTCACAAACATGTTTGTTTGTATGTTGTTTAAGGCAGCACTCCTCAATATTCCAACTTTAAGACGGTAGTCTGAAAATAATCCATTCTGGACCAGACGATCCAGTAATTGAAACCATGAGCATCAATCTATGCAATAAGGAAAAGATGACATGTATCAACCATGTTGGTCTGACCACCTGTTCCTGTTAGTTGCCTCTTACGACATGCATGGGTAGCTGAAGATCAATTCCAACCCAGACTGACCAAGAAGTATGGATTTGCGAAAGGTAAATGATATCCTGTGTCTGATGTGTGAATACTCCAAATCAACTATCTCACTTGCAATAGTTGGAACATAAAATTATGGCGGCCATATTAGAAAGAAGAATGAGAACAATTTTATGGATATACAACTTCTATACAGAATAAAGAAGTTACATATCCATAAAATTGTCCTCATTCTTCATCTCTTCAACTTCTAGAATGCCAGTCAAAGAAGTCATAGTAGAAAGGATGTTAAAAAGAGATAACTTAATATTTGTCTTAATTATGGCAGTTCGTAGAGACAAGACAAAACATGTTAATCTCAGGGTTTAACATAATGCAGAGATGTGCATCTAGTACCATTAATGACTAGAATGGATGCACAAAAATATATCTGTTGTATCCTGAGATACAGTATGTTGACTGTACCAAATTCTGACTGGAAATGTAGTTCTTGTAATTAAGGAATTATCAAATATTTAAACCTCCAAAAGGATCCAAATTCTACAAGCCCTTTCAAACCTTTCACTTTAACCTGTCTAGTGAAATGACCCCTCGTTTTGTAGATCAAGGTAAAACCCAGCTGGCTCCCTCGATTCGAAATTGAGGAGATGAAGACACTAACTAATGTGGATTCTGAAATGTTCTACTGTCAGAATTCCGTCTGCATGTCATGAACATTTCAAGGTTTGAAGATACCTCACAGGCAAACAAGTAATCCCTTTGGTACATTTAAATGTTGAAAAAACCTCTGATGACGTCCCACCATATCCCCCATGGTCCTTCTACTGCGACAAGACCTCATCATCGTCGTACCAATACCTCTAGGATAAGACAGTCTATCCTGAACCAAGGGATTCCATGAAGTACTTACTCTTGTTTGATTTTGAGAGGCGTTCTGAAGGCCGGGGCCTTCAACCTGGATTGCACATCCTGTCAGAGTCTCTGCCAAGGGGTTGGTAAAGGACACCTCAAAAGCCATCTTCTTCCCAACCTGTCCCGCTTTAGGGGCCTACAAAAGTTGAATTTGTGTTTTTTATAACCTTATGAAACAATCAAGTAATAGAAAAAACATTACATAGCCCTGCAGCAAGGTGCAACCACCTGGCCGTGTGTAATATTAACGTATACTGGGATTGCAACCGTTGACCATAGAAACTGTTGTTTACATAGGTATTTTAAGTGTGAAACATATTCACATTTTGTGCAGCAACAATACACTACAAACAATGAAATAATTAGATGTCTGGGGAATTATAAACCACAAAACAATTTACCATTTTCTAAGTGAAGAGAACACAAGCGACAAAATCTACACTGGTCCCTGAGTGGGTTAGACTCCATCAGCAATATTGCAGCTATATAGTGCCCGGTCTGTAAAAATTAGAGTCTAGATCAGACAATCCAGTGATCAACCATGTCATCGAGCCTGACCACCCGATACCATTAATCGCCTCTATTGACAAGCATGGGGTACTGAAGATCAATTCCAATCCGGATCTTCATGAGTAGATACTTATTAGAATTAGGTCCCAGCAGAGACCATATAATATATATTATATGGTCTCTGGTCACAGTGACCTATATATTTTGTAGATATATGCAAGCAAATGATAGATTACCTTGATTTGTAAGTGAGGTTTACGAAGTCTAAAGTCGCACATGTTGGTGAAGGCCTGCAATGTCTCAGTCACACGTGACATACAAGTAAGTTGCAGCATGCACATGTCCTTCAGGCTGCCTTGATAGTCCTCAGCTTTAACAGTCATCTTTATCTCTGTACCTGCAATGTGAGGGTTTAATGCAATATGATCAGACCTAGCACCTGGAAACAGGACCTATCACTCCTGTTGGGGTCTTCTTTAGAGGGGGCGTTGGGGTTAGTCTAGTGGTTATTTCGCTTATCATGCGAAGACCCAGGTTCGATTCCCCACATGGGTACAATGTGTGAAGCCCATTTCTGTGTCCCCCTTCCCCCGCCATGATATTGCTGGAATATTGCTAAAAGCAGCGTAAAACTAAACTCACTCACTCTTCTTCAGAGAGGATATTTTGTTTGTTGTTTAACACTCTCTCCACAATATCCCAGCCATATGGCGGTGGTCTGTAAATTGAGTCTGGACCAGGCAACCCGTGATCGACATCATGAGCATCAATTTACGCATTTGGGCTACAATGACCTGCACTAGCCAACTCAGCAAAAAAGGAAAAAATAAAGAAAGAAAAAAAAAGAAAAAAAAGTCAGCAAGGCTGACCACCTCATCCTGTCAGTCATCTCTTACGACAAGCATCGGTTGTCGCAAACCAATTGGTATCAAGTACCACTATCAAGTACAGATTTGCAAAAGGTGATCATATCCTGTCCTTAATTGCAGATACACACAAATATACTGACTCACAATAATTGCAACATTAAAGGTGTAAGACAAATTCTCATCTGGATTTTTATCTAAAAAAAATCCAAACAAAATAAAAAACATGTTAGAAAAGCACACTTACTGGCCTGTGGTTTGAGCACTGTATCAAATTTCTGAGATTTGACACGGTCTGCAGACACACCAGTGTAATACATCGTACGTGCAGCCAAAAATGTCTTAAGAGTTCTCTCTGAAGTGCTGATATTCTTCACTCGAAGGATCACATCAAAGTCTTGACCAACAAATACGTCCTCACTGTGATCAAGGTCAAATTGCACATCCTGTAATATAAAAAAGTATCAACATCAGACTTGAATTGGGCATTGTATTCTATGTAGAGAGAGCCTCATGGCTCTGTAGCTCACCCACAGGTTCCTGGAATATTTGATCAGGAGGGTTTTACTGGTTAAAGAAGAAGCGAAAAAGAATCAGGGAAGTTTTTTGAACACATGAGTTCATTAAAAGGTGCAAATGTTTTCCACAAAAGGAATCTTGAAGGTAAAAGGTTGTGTCAAGGGTATCAATCTGCACCAAAACACTATGTTATTGCTATTATTACTCACTCACTCACTCATAATAACGAGCAATTGGCAAAACATTTTCTTTTCCTTTTTTCGCGGGGTGATTCATGGACCCCAAGACCCGCCTTATGGCGAGGAATGACTGTATCCAATTCAGCTAGGTTTGAGATGTTTCACACAGGCAGATTCATTCTTCAGAAATGAAGGAAAGTTGCTTGGCCGAGTAACAACTGACACATTAAGACGAATAATGTCGTAAAGTGTAATGATGTCAAGGACACTTGCTCTGCACACACACATCAAGAGGGATTATGTCGACCAATCCCACCTCACGTAATGGTGTAAAGGATACTTGCACGGCGCATCAGATGTCCAGTTTAAACCATTCATATTAAGAATTGTTTTGTCCAGACACCTCATAAAATTAAACCTTGACTCCATCCTAGCTATATCAACTGCTGTCAGCCCTTGCAGACAATGGGTGTGGTGTCAGGGGAGGTAGTTTATCTTCCCTGGGTCAAGGTCACCCAGCTACTTTCAGGTTCGATATATGCTTTTATCATCTTTACACAGGTTCTGGGCTGTATCAGATAAGCAACTTAAGAAGAACACATTGTTTATTTAATGAGCTCATGTTAAATATCGAGGCTGCTGATGAAGAAATTGCTTCTGTATCCCCTTTATGTGAATACCCTAATACCTTGAAATAAGAAAAGATAAATATTATGTTAACAATGGAATGTCTATGAGCTTTACGTTTCCTGTTTCCCCCATGTCAGACTGCAAGTGGTGTTGGTTACTGCAAATACACAGTCGACCAGGGTAAAGAATGTATTTGTTGTAGCCCTTATCTGTGCAGGGTGCCATGAGATGCTTAGAGGTCCACCAGCTTTGGGACTGGGCTGATAGCAGTTTTAAACAAACATCTTACTCGCTCATGTGTACATAATAATGACATCAGGTTAAGCATCAAATTTATACAACTACACCTAAACATTCCTCCTCAAACACACCAATTTATGAAGAATGTAAAGAAACAACATGGCTATAATAATTACAGAAGAGAAAATGTTCACAGAAAATATGTGCAATTATGACCTCCAGACGGTGATAACAAACTGTGACCAGGAACAGGCATTGTTCATATAACAATGGGTAAACAAACATACTGAATCACAAAGATATCTACGAGGTGGATCAGTTTCAAACCCACCTGCAACAAAATAAAACACTTTGCTGTTGAGACTATGATTCTGAGCTAATTTGCTGACACTGCATTAAAGTTTCCATGGCAACACATTCTCAATGCTGAACCCTTTGATGCTCGTTGTGTGTCTCCCACCCAAAGAAAAACACACATGCAGAAATATAACACATTTGATATGGTTTGAATTTCACAAGTCGGTCTAAGAGCAAACAGTTTCAAGGCAAACAGATCCCAGCTGCTTTTCTAAATGTTTGACACATACAAAAAATATATATTCATTTTCACCAAACTGACTACAACCATTTACATTGTAATAACATGTAGTATGTATGTAAATACTTTAACAACATGCATAAGAATTCCATAGATATCAGGAGAAAATGCGTGTTTTACAGAAAATGGCAAATATACTTCAGCTTTACGCCGCACACAGCAATATTCCAGCTATATGGCAGCGATCTGTAAATAATCGAGTCTGGACCAGACAATACAGTGATCAACAGCACGAGCATCAATCTGCACAATTGGGATCCGAGGACATGTGTCAACCAAGCCAGCGAGTCTGACCACCCAGTCCGTTAGTCGCCTCTTAGGACAAGCATGGGTTACTGAAGGTTCATTCTAACCCGGAACTTCACAGGTGACCTTCATGGTGACCTTGACCTCATATATTGGTCACCTTTTCAGATTTGAGAGCTGCCCTAAACATGGCAAGTTCTAATACTCACATTAATAGACCCACAGACACTCCTTCTCAAAATAAGTTTTTTACCAAATTATTACATTAACCTTTTACATGTGTTATCAACATGTCAAAACTAGTTCATCACATATATTGGATATGATATCCCATAAAACACTCAATGTCCAAGCCTTTGTTACTGCAGTAAATGTAGACAAAACCTTAGAGCATTGCCATTTACATGCTCAGGCTCCAGACCTAATACAATGTACATGTAGTTGTGTTTCATGTAACATTGACTTGAAATATAGTCCATTTGGCTCAAAATCGGACCGATGAATTGCAATCTAACTCGAAAACTAATAAACGTATATTACTCAATGAAACGCTGATCAGACCAACTTTTTGCAGAATTTATATCCCGAAAAATGAAAAAGTTGTTTAACAAACTATCATTAAAATTTTGACCCAGTTCACTATTTCTTACGAGGGAGGAGTGCAGAGAAAGGGACAGCCAGGTGTGTGAGAAAGGATGGAGACGGCACAGCACAGGTTTATGAATCAATAACTTGGTGGGCACTTGTGCACGTGCTTCTCTAACACCTGGCTGTCCCTTTCTCTGCACTCCTCCCTCGTAACAAATAGTGAACTGTGTCAAAATTTTAATTGTTAAACAACTTTTTTAATTTTAGGACATAAATTCTGCAAACAAACCACAGAGTTGGTCTGATGTTTTAATTATGATCAACATTTCATCGAGTATTATATGTTTTTCAGTTTTCGAGTTGCACTGAAATTCATCGGTCCGCTTTTGAGCCAAACGGACTATAGCTGGTTGGCAGGTTGGATAATAGTGTTGGAATTTATTTACTTTTTAATTGAATTGTATACTTCTGTGTCAATTCATGGGTTGTCATGGAGTGTTGTTTGTGGTTATAGGTAGTCTATGATTGTGCTTTTGAAGACAGAAAAAATATTTATACAAATACAACAGACAATTTAGAATTTTTTTATCTCAGAAGGCTAGCACCAAAACTGGCAGAACACGTGCACTCATCTTGAAGCCGACATAAAATGCTACTTCATTTTACAAAAGGTAGTAATTTCACATAATTCTATTTCTCTTTGTTCATAAAGAATTAAAAAACCTTACCTCAGTTCCTTTTTCATAGACGTCCGGACGGCAGGATCCAAATTGGTTTGCCGTCAGTACTGCCACTCGCTCCTCGTTGGAGCCTGCACAAGGAATTGAAACACTGCAAGTTTTACATTCTATTCTAAATCGTTGTGAGTGAGTGAGTTTAGTTTTACGCCGTTTTTAGCAATATTCCAGTAATATCACGGTGGGGGACACCAGAAATGGGCTTCACACATTGTACCCATGTGGGGATTCGAACCCGGGTCTTAGGCGTGACGTACATCGTTGTGAAACAAGCAGGAGTTAAACCCACATGTTCATATATACACATGGGCATTAATTAAGCACCTGATTCCAAGGATAATTTTGGTCCAAACAGGTGATCAATTCCTATCATACTGGCATGTAATTAGGCAAAGCACTTATTATCTCATTAGCTATGTTTATGTGCTACGAAGTGTCAAGCACATTGGGTCATCAATTTCCTAACTGCAGTATGTGGAGTAGAGTTTTCTGAACTGATTTAAAGATGACAGTACTGACGTCCTTGATGAAGCTCAAGCCAACAAGTACTCGAATCTGTGCTTTATTGAGAAAGTATAATCCCAAATATAACATAGGTTACATTTGACCACTTTCTAAATGGCAATGTGTATTCACAATCTTACACTGGTATCTGCGAAATATTTATTTCAAAATTACTTTAGAGTAAACAATTTTAAAGCAACAAAATTACAGTGATTTTCGTTAAAGGCAAATTTAAGAAGAGCAGGTTCACAAGAATATATTTACCAAGCCAAGAATGTTTTCGAGAGGATTAATAGGCCTGTTACAAGTGATAACGTGAAATCAAGGTCAAATACATATTCACAGATCACAAAACAGGGAAAGATGTTAGACCCCACCACTGACTTCACAGCAATGTGAATACAGAAAAGTCTAAAAAGTTTACCAAATAAAGACCATTAAATGGTTTAAAAAGCGGCTGTGCTCTCCATTTTAAAAAATTATTAATGTTTGTATATGCATTGATGTGGGAGCAAGCATCCTTCAGGATCTTTGCTCCAGGAGTATCTGAGAAGATGCTCACAGAGGTTTACTGATGCCAGCACCAACACCACTGCTGCCAATACTAGACAAGCAAGCTTAAATCAGGGCTCGATTTAAGAGACAGTAACCTACTTGCACCAGGTGCAACCTATGGTGAACAAAACAGTTGCACCAGCCGAATTCCAGCTGCACTGCTTTTATTGCAATATGTAATGAAGGAAATTTGCTATTTTATTTTCCAAAATTAAGAAGAAAATTGAACTGACATAAGTATGCTTACAATGTTAAATTTAGTGTTGATTTATTTCTCAAGAATTGACTTGCACCTGGTGCAAGTTAAACAAATAACAAGGTTGCACTTTGTAATGTTGGGTTGCACCAGTGCAAGTAACAATTTACAGCACTTAATCAAGTCCTGTTAAATGTAATTTAACTTGACTCCGATCAGGTGAGCTAAATCTTCTGAACATCAATACCTTTTTTTTCAGCCACCTGATTCTTTTCTCAAAATGCTAATCACTTTCTTAAATGGCATAACACATGTCCACCTAAGGCAAATCGTATAAATAATGGCAGCCTTAAGTCCCGATAATACTGTCTGACTAACCAGTAAAAGACTGGCTTTGACTCCCAGAAATAAAGATATCTTATTTAAGAAGTTAAATCTATAGAAACGAAAAATTATCCAATGGAGCCAAATCAGCTCTTAATTTCAGAACTGAGGCAGATGGATTTGTGTCGAACTGAATAACTTAACCAGTAAATACTGAAGACATTTTTGTCATCACCATTCACAAAATACATGCCCAAGCCATGTCAACACTTATATAAATGTTAGTACGCTTGCATTAACCAATAAGGACAAGATTGTTCTTACCGCCATATGCCAAAACATCCCAGGATATATATAGAATTCTTGGACAGTTTCATGATTTTGGCGAATACATGATTTCGAGTCTGATACATAAATGATTTACCTTCAATAAATTTGTAAGCGCCTGTGACGACTTCTCTGCTGCTATCCACCATATTCTTCGTGCTGATCTCCTTTCCAACTCTAGAACAAAGACAATATACATACTGAATATCATGGTAACTTTTACCACCCCAAATTGGCTTCTGCGGAGATATCGCTTGGGTGAGATAGAGCATTATCTCCTAAGAGATATCACAGCATTACAGAAGACCATTGTGACGTCATCCAGGATCATGATGTCATCGTAATCTGATATCATTGTCACAAAGCTCTCTGCTTCTGAAGCGTTCGCCCGGAGAGCGGAAGGTCACGGGTTCGCGATCCCCGACCGCGTCATACCAAAAGACGTTAAAATATGGTACTTGTTGGTCCCTGTCTGGCGCTCGGCATTAATGGGTACAACAAGGACTGGTTGGCTCGGGAGTCAGTATAATGTGTCTGAGTGGGGTATTCATGCTTCACTGCGGCATGGTATCTCAGTGGGCTAGCACTATAAAACCCAGCTGAAGTCTGGGCTAGTACAAGCAGCCGCATATACACATACACACGCATGCACGTCGTCATATGAGCGAAATATTCTCAAGCACGACGTAAAACCCAATTTCACCTCACCTCACCTCTGCTTCTGAAGCTGGTAACTTTACTTTTTGAACTCATGACAGTTGTCAGTCACTGTTCACACACATGTTTAGGATGATGAATAGAAAGAATATCACCTCGTGTGTTTTGATATCAAACATGTCTTCACTGGCTGACAAATGTTTGGTTGTGGGGTAGCCCATAAAGCTTTCATTCATCATACTGAAAATCCAGGTTTGATTTCCAACATGGGTACAATGTGTGCAGCCCATTTCTGGTGTCTCCCGCCATATGTCTGGTGTAATGCTATAAGCAGCACAATGAACATACCAGAAGTGGGCTGCACACATTGTACCCATGTTGGAAATCAAACCTGGGTCTTTCGCATGATGAGCCAACAAACTGACCACTTGGTTAGCAGTCTTCCGACTTATTGTCCAGTTTCTTTTGGACCGGTCCTGAGACCTTAAACCTGTTCATGATCTTTTTATCAAGATATCAAATGAGAAATTCTTACCCTTTCTTTTCAATGTAGACTTTCTCAAAAGTGCCATCTGGCTTGATGGACCAGTACACCTTATCAGCATTCACTTCAGCAAAGATGAACTGGCCATCATATGGAAGGTTGACCTCACCTCGTTTAATAGCAAGCACAGGTGCAGGACCACAGCAATAGACACCTGAAAGGACAATCATTTGATAAATTATCTATATTGTCTGGGATAAAGCAATAGACACCTGAAAGGACAATCATTTGATAAATCATCTATATTGTCTGGGATAAAGCAAAAGACACCTGAAAGGACAATCATTTGATAAATCATCTATATTGTCTGGGATAAAACCTGAAAGGACAATAGACACCTGAAAGGACAATCATTTGATAAATCATCTATATTGTCTGGGATAAAACAATAGACACCTGAAAGGACAATCATTTGATAAATCATCTGTATTGTCTGGGATAAAGCAATAGACACCTGAAAGGACAATCATTTGATAAATCATCTATATTGTCTGGGATAAAGCAATAGACACCTGAAAGGACAATCATTTGATAAATCATCAGTTGTTCAGCACAGTGTATATCAAGGACAATATGGCACACATACACACAAGGGTTTCTGGTTTAAATCATATACACAATCATCTTCAATAGCGAAAAGTGACAACAAAATAATGATCGTTAGTTAAAGAACTTTTTTATTCAGGTGTCCCAAATTATGAAACAAATCAACACAGTTGGTCTGTTGATTTCATGTGACTGTGCAAAGTTTGATTTTGTTGCAATTATTAGATTTTGTGTTCGTGGACAATTCATCGGTCTCAAATGAAGTCAAACGAACTATACAGTAATAAGAAAGAAGGGTGGCCCTTACGTTATACTGAGTAGTATATGTATTCTTACCATCACTTGTCTCTTGTGGTGTGGCATCCACTGCCTGCCAGCCTCCGTATCCAGTTGGCAGATCAGGCCGTGACATCCATGACTCATTCCACACGTGGAAATTCCTGTATTCAGGAAGGAAAGTCAAGTAAAATAAAACTGAAACCATTTTTCCATCAAAGCTTTTCCCTGCAAGGTGTAGAGGCACATCAGCTCTCTCTGCTGAATTGTGGTGCCTTGATGTTCTTGAGTAAGTAAATGAGTTTGTTTAATGCTGTGTTTAGCAATATTTCTGAAGGGAAAATTCAAGTAAGATAAAACTGAAAACCTGGTTTTGAAATATCTATTTTTCCTGTGTAAGAATCGTCATTTGTCCAAGGCACTTAGATTCTCTATGCAGAGTTCTGTCCCTTTGGTGTGCTAGAGTGAGTGAGTGAGTGAGTGAGTGAGTGAGTGAGTGAGTGAGTGAGTGAGTGAGTGAGTGAGTGAGTGAGTGAGTGATCATGGTTTTACATCATTTTAAGCTATTTCCCCATAATATCTCAGCTGGAAATACAAGAAATGGGCTTTTGGGCAATCCAACCCAAACCTTTAATGTGTTCAGCACAAAGTTCAACCGCATGGCTACCTCCTGCATCAAGTACCCGTGAAGGTCTGGGTTAGAGTATTGATCTTCAGTAACTCATGCTTATCGTAAGAGGTGACTAACAGGATCGGGTGGTCAGGCTCGCTGACTTGGTTGACACATGCCATGTAATAAGTTTGAAGTATGCACAGATCAGAGAAGCCAGTGGATGGTGGTGAAAAAGCTTAGGCTGAATGAGCACAAAACTGAGGCAATAGTGCTTGTTAGTGATCCGGTAATTATTTAGGTAAAACAGACCTATCTAGTACTTGGAGAACAGAACATGAAATTTACAACCTCAAGCAAGAGGAATTTAGGGGATATGATGGACTTGAACCTTTGCATGGATCACCAAGTACTATACAACATGCCAACACCTGAGTATATTCATCTCTGCCAAAGGAGATTCCTTTTGGGGAAAAAATGTTATGAAAATCATATGCATGAAGCACAAAAACTACAAGAAATGTGCAGGAAATATTATTAGTTGTGTAACATATCCTGCAGTTAATTACATTAAAAGCTGCAACAACCTTGGTACACTATTTCCAGACGACTCCAGACAATTAATACATCCTGGCATGCATTTTAATTATCTTCAGCTCGTACAAACACATATTCTACTAAAACCTCGAACCTGACGAACGTACCAACATAAAGTACAACACTGGAGTACAAGAATACAGTACAAGATTAATGTACAAGTTTTGACTACAAGAAAAAAATACAAGATCAGAGTCCAAGATGTGCTTACAAGAAACAGTACAGTACATGTGCAGAATGTAAGATTAGGGTACAAGATTTCAGTACAAATACATAGTACACGATTAGACATCAAGATTTTTGAGTACGTAAAAGATAAGAGTACAAAATTAGATATTTCCATATCTGACATACCCAGATAGCATTCGGACATTGGCCCAACGTTGCAATGTTGGCAAAACCATTGCTATCTGGGTAGTGACAAGCCCCAACAAGCCTAAGTTATCTGAGAAATACATGACCTAAACTTGTAAGGTCCTATCCATCTAATTACCTAATTACTAAAATATGACACCTCACTTTCAACTATAAAGATAATTTTATGGATATACAACTTCTTTATTCGGTGAAAGGCAACATTTCAACATAGATTCTAATGCCGTTGTCAAGCAAGATACCCATAAATTTATCTTCATTCTTCTTCACTTCAACTTCTAAAATGCCCATCAAAGAAACCTCATTTCAGTCTAACTACATCAGTTTCAGTTTGAACAATGCCCAACACTGTAAATAAACCAGTACATCTCATATCTCAGCTACCTTGAACCTGTTTCAGTTTAATGACACTAATACTTGAAAACACATGTCTAATGGAAGGGCACTTTAAACAAACCCCTACAGCCTTGAGCTATCTAAAGAAAGTTAGATACACATCCGGTCTAACTTGCATTTCACGTCTAATGAAGCCCAGCTTCTCCGTCCCATTACCTCAATTACGATGGCTTCAAACGGTAAACATAAATTTACAAGCAAAGGATGGAAAACTCAAAAAGTGTTTCCAACTTGTTGTTTTATTCACACTGTGTTGTTGTTATTTAGTTCCTGCTCACATTTCTCTGTGTTGATGTCAAGGTGACCAGGTAAAAATAATAGGTAAGTAAAATCAAGTAATATCTTGTCAGTATCTACACAGCAATTATACTCAATGTTTGCTAAGGATAATTTTTTTCGACATCACCCACGCATACAGATCGAAAATATTTTATTTTGAAAACATCAGCTAAAATTGCACCACTCAAATTTTGCAAAGGATTAGGCTTGATGATATACATTCATTCAACAAATAATGTTGGAGCTATCTCGGTACACAATGACAGGATAATCACTACACGACGTCAGGTTCATGGTGAGCGACAAAGAGCATGCTGCCATGTGGACAATCTGCACAATCTGCTTGTAAATCTGGGTTTACATGTATCGTGACAACTGTGACAACTTTATCAGAGTGCGTATGGTGTTATGCCACTTTTAGCAATATACCCATGTGGGGAATCAAACCAGGGTCTTCGGCGTGACGATCGGACGCTTTAACCATTAGGCTACACCACTGTCCCACATTATCAGAGAGCACAACATCTGGGGCCCGATCCACAAGCAGTCGTAGCACTACGATATTCATAAGCCAATGATAACCTATATACTTATGATTGCTGGTAACGCTACGAACATTTGGTGGATCGGGACTCTGGTTTTGAGGATTGCAGCATATAAACGCTCTAATGATCCCTCAGTATCAACACGTTTCATGACCAAATAGGACCGCCTCCGTGGTGTAGTGGTTAGAGCGTACCCCCGGAGAGCGGAAGGTCACGGGTTCGATCCCCAACCGCGTCAAACCCAAAGACGTTAAAATATGGTACTTGTTGGTCCCTGCCTGACGCTCGGCATTCATGGGTACAACAAGGACTGGTCGGCTCGGAGTCAGTGTAATGTGTCTGAGTGGGATATTCATGCTTCTCTGCGGCATGGTATCTCAGTGGGCTAGCACTATAAAAAAACCCAGCTGAAGTCTGGGCTAGTACAAGCAGCCGCACTTTACACATACACACACGCATGCACGCGTGCGTATTGGCAGATGCAATGCATGCATGAAATAGGGTTAACACAATGTCACATTGCAAACATCTTCATGTCAGCCAAAGTATGATCAATGACAGGAACTGATACCAGATGTCTGGATCAGCTACCATACAACATGGTGGACAACATTCCAACACACAGAGGTAGGGTGCTGTTGACATGTTTCTCCGACTGCAACAGGAATTCATCACTTCATGAATGCCAGTACGCTATTTCACTCAGAAATGACCTGCCAAAGTGGCATGCATGTTTACACTCAGTGCATGATTGTAACAGGGTGTTTATTCCTGTAGTGAGACTGTTCCTTTAAATATTCTCTCTTGTGTAATTATTCCCATGGATCAGCTAGGTAAATGTGCCCATTACATTGACACTAGCAATATTTGTTCTGAATGGAACTTATTCCATGTGGAACTGATCATAGTTGAGATAATAATCCTTCGTTCAAGTCTCTGGTAAAAGAGGGCATGCATTTACATACAACAGGGCCAGCATCAAAGGCAGGCATGTGTTCATTGGGTTGAAGGTCATGTCCGTTGCACAGACTAGCACTGGGCTCCTGTAATTGTTTTTTCTGACCTGAGAGAGTGTCTAGAGTGACAGATCGTAATCATTAAATGTGCCGTACAAAAGGAAAAGGATGTCAGGATTCCGATACAGTGAACAGGGTTGCAAAGGAAGGTGCTAAGAAACGATTTTTGATGGCGAGTGGGGGCAATCAGCTGAACTAGAAAAAACCCAATCTCCATGTCCTACAAGGGTCACAGTGACAGGTGTGCACTAGAGTGATGGCATTCCAGAACCAGATTTCATTCTCATGAACAATAATACACAGCCTAATCATAACAGCCATTGATGCACACTCATGAAACTCTACAGAAACTTGGCAATGGTCTTACCGAAGAGCGGAACCATTTTCCCTTGGCATCACTTACAGGGGGCATGTGAAAGGTTGTGATCACATTAAGTGGAATTTCCCACATGCTTGTTTGTTTTTTGTTTTTTGGGGGCAATAAATTAGATGTCATGAGTTAATATACTTTAGTTTTAGTCAGATTATCATTTTCTCACTAATTGTTGGTGACGTTGTTTGGTGTAATTGTCTGGCACATGACAACAGATGCAAACCATTGACTTTTATTGATCTAACAAGTCTTCACATTATTTTGTCTTTGCCTATTTCTAGAGATGCACACAATTTGACCCATAAGCTATGAAAGTTGTGTTCCCTGGCAACCAATGAGCTGTAGATATCCCTGCTTTATTTATGTTGCCGAAGATACAGCTGAACATTCTTGGTAGCAAGTTTTGATTCCAGTCAAGTTTCCTTTTGTCCATTTTGCACGGGCAGCCCAGTAAAGCTTGCTACTGATATAGATAGATAATCATTCACATAAAATCAATCACTTATCAACAGATAGCAGACGTAACTGGAGCAAAATTGCCAAAAAAGTTTAAAAGAGATGAATATATTTCACACTGAGAGGTGACACAAAACAGCGACCTGAACATAATTTAGAAGAAGACCATGAATAAAGTCCTAAAATTTTATATTGTGTCAGAAAATTATAACTTTTTTCTATCACAAAAGTTTATGTTTGATATTATTCATAACACAATTTTTATATCGATAATCATGAATAATTTTTCCTATCCATGACTTTCCTGATTATCGATAATTTTAGCCAGTCCTATAGCCCAGGCACATCGCAACCATTGTGTCAAACATCGACGAGTCAAACTTGACATTCCAAAGGAAAAACTTGGACCTGAGTATTCCTTCTTTGGTCTTTTTGTGATTGTGTCAAACCTCAGATGATTATGAATGTAGGTTCCTCTGACTTCGACACAACAGCTGAGAGTTGTTTTTAATGATACACAAACAAACAAACAAACAAACAAACAAACTATAGCATATACATGGAAACTTACCAAACTGAGTCCGAGTTCATGTCATCAGCTGCGTCGCCCCCCTCATCAAAATGGTAGTCGATTGTTATTGAGCCGTCCGTGTCATGGGCTGACGCAAAGTTTGTGACGCTCCGAGCAGGGATACCCAGAGCACGGCAAACTGCAACATATTGGATTTCAATGTTTTCCCATTTTAAAAGCACACTGATGTGTCAATAAAAGAGTGAGTGAGTGAGTTTAGTTTTATGCTGCTTATAGCAATATTCCAGCAATATGAGCATCACACATTGTGCCAATGTGGGGAATCGAACCCGGGTCTTCTAAATAAAAACAAGAAGACAAAGTCATCAATATCCCCCTCAATGGCAAAATACGCTTCATGATTATGTCTACGAGTTATGATTATGTCAAATATGCTTGTGTATATAGAAAAGTGGAAGGAGAGTAGAAAGTTCTGTCATAATAGTCTATGACAAACTTGTTGCTATGGTGCCCAAAATATTTTATTCTGTAATCCTTTGACCAAAGGCACCAGTACACCACCAGATCTATCTATATGGAAGTTTGGTGAAGAAATGAACAGTTTTAGAGTTCTGCTCCGAAAAGAGCACTACCACCAATTTCAGGCTAAGTCAACTTGTTGCCATGGAAACACCAAAAATATTTTATTCAAAATTCCAAAACTACCAGAATGCACCAGTACACCACCAGACCAATCTATGTGCGAAGTTTGGTGAAGAAATAGAAACGGTTTTAGAGTTCTGCTCTTCTCCGCACTACCACTAATTTCATTCTGAGTCAAACCTATGTTGCCATGGAAATGCCAAAAATGTTTTATTCAGAATTCCAAAAGATACCAAAAGTCACCAGTACACCACCAGATCTATCTATGTGCCAGGTTTGGTTAAGAAATAGTGAAGTGGGTTTTAGAGTTCTGCTTACTTGAACATTTTAGCACTACCACTAATGTCAGTCTAAGTCAAACTTGTTACCATGGAAACGCCAAAAATGTTTTATTCAGAATTCCAAAATTACCAAAAGGGCATGTTACACCACCAGACATCTATCTATGTGCCAAGTTTGGTGAAGAAATATTGAACGAGTTTTAGAGTTCTGCTCGGAAAAAGACAAATGTGCACAAAACTGGTCCTATAAAAACTGACAAGCGAAACTTCAGCAAAAAGATGGGACTGCACTAGTGACAGTCATACGATAACTAACAAAGACACTTCTAGGTTGATAATTGCATTCTTTTAAAAATGAAATTATAATTTGGAATTCATGGAGATATAATTGAAAAATTTGCTAATTTGCAATTTTTGCACTGTGTAATATTTAAAGAAGTCAATTCAAAATAATCATTTAACTGAACAGATTTTGTGCCAATGTGTAGTGCAACAATGCATCCAATTCCTGCATATTCTACCATCTGCCAATCAGGAAACACTACTAGTGGGTGTGACCTAATATATTTACACAAGAAATACACTATATCATGTGCTACAATGTTCCTTGCACTTTGCAATGTATAAACTTTCATATTTTCCAGAGTGAAAACAATTTTCACATGCAGTACATTCGGTCTGTAAATGCTGACAAACTTTAAGAAAGAATATATTCTTTCAGACACAAAATACCAGGTAATACAAGGAAAATATTGATTACACAATGGCATTTAGAACGTGGTTAAATGTAACATATGTTATATTTTGTGATTACGCTTTCTTAGTAAAGTACAAATTCTTGTACTTTTGTTGGGTTGAGGCCCATCTGGGATTCGAACCCACACCCTCATATTCATGTGCTGGCGATTAGGTGCCTGACTCTGAGGGTGTGTGTTCGAATCCCGGGTGGGACTGCACCCAACAAAATTTTGAATTTTGAAAAACATTCAGACAAAACGTCTAATTTTAAAATGTTTATTCAATACCAGGAAGGAGTGATGGACAATGGAACCTACCTATGAAGCTACCTAAACCATATCATTATACAAACATTGCACCAACTGTAGCTCACCTGGGTAGAGAATTGCCAGGTTAAATGTAAAAACAGTGACACCTGGATCTATTGTCAGCAGCCACTTTACAAAAAAGTTGCTGGCGACATAAGCTTTTCAAATAGTTTCTTCAGATCACATCTAAGGATATGTGTACCATGTTTAACTGACAGTATGAGTTTATTAAAGTAAAGGGGCCGTGGGGTATCCTAGTGGTTAAAGCATTCGCTAATCATGACGAAGACCCAGTTTATATTCCCCACATGGGTACGATGTGTGAAGCCAATTTCTGGTGTCCCGCTATGCCCCAGTATTGCTGGGATATGACTAAAAGCGAGACTTAAAAACGACTTATGATTCTCATCACATTTCATGTAATAAGCCCCATAATTTGCGTATATGTAGCATTTTCTTGCTTAATATGTTCAGAATAGCATTATTTTACCAAACACTTTCGTCTAAATCTAAAGTTTCGTTTATGAGGACGGTATCCATTGCCGTAATATGATTGGCTGCCTTAGGTCACGTGTCTGATTTTGACCAATCACGACCCTTATAGCAGACTGTAGCGAAAAAGCGTCATTTCTTACAACTGTGAAAATACTCTCGGCAAGGGTTCAGTGATGTTGTTGATGTTCAGAGCTTTCGAACGATACCCGGCATCAAACGATTCGCCTCCCATGTTATTCATAATGAAGCTTCAAACGGAGGTATTTTCCGTTGTTATGTCATGTTACCGAGCGCGAAAGCCACAGATATCGGGAAATAGGCGACCATACATATTATTTAAGAAATCTTTTATAATAATTTTCTGGTTACGTAAAAGTGAAAATATAAAGAAAAAGGCACGGGCATGTTATGACATGTCACAAATGGATCATATTTAAAGTAAACCTTTCTTTTGGTCTGTGATTGCAAGGATGACCTTGACCTATAACATGTCTGCATGATTTTTTGGATGTCCATGTACCACCACAAGTGGTCAAATTCAGTTGAACCCTTCAAGAATTCCCATGTACATGGAATTGCTCAATGTTCAATAGGGCTGCCTAAAATGATCGATAATTGTAAATATCGTCGATAGGACTACTGATGTGAAAATTGTGCTATCGATCACATCATAGATTAACTTTTGTGATAGAAAGTTTTCATTTTCTCACAAAATATGCCATATTAGGACTTTATTCATGGTCTGCTTCTAAATTATCAGTTCAGGACGATATTTTGTTAATAATCCATGCAGAAACATGTCGCCACTCACCAGTGATGTGAAATATCATTATTTTGTTGTCACTTATGATGTTTCTTTAGAGGGAGTGATACTTGCTGGTAGAATAGCCAGGTGTGCGAGTTGCATGTGTGAAATTGAAATTTCACTACACATGCTTGTTGATTACCTGGCTGTTCTACCAGCAAGTGGTCCCCCCTCGTAAAAAATAGCAAAACATGACAACAACATAATGATCGTATGTTAAACAACTTTTTATTCGGTGTCCAAAATTATGAGACAAATCATCAGAGTTGGTCTGTCGATTTCATGCGACTGTGCAAAATTTGGTTTTGTTGCAGTTTTTAGATTTTGAGTTTGTCAGCAATTCATCGGTCTCAAATGAAATCAAACGGACTGTAGATGGTATTATCTCCAATAATGTATAAAACTGCAACTAGCACCAACCTGTGGTGGTGACTCCAGAGAACACCCAACACTGTCCATACGTGACTGATTCCTTTGTGTCGTAGTACTGCTCCAATATCTTCACACTGCCTGTCCACGAAAGAGGGGACGTCCCATCAGAATAGTCACCGGACCAGTTGCCAACCAAGACACCATAATCATCCGGGGCATTAACAGCAGCGGTGATCTTCCTGACGATGGGGATGGGGTTTCCCCGAACACCCCAACTCATCCCTGCTTCATCCAGGATGTACATGCAACAGTCAAGGACCTTTCCTTGGAACTGAAACAGACATTTGAACAGTCATCAATAACAGTGATCATCAATTCAAGTCTGTTGCGGACAGAAAAATGGAGACAGAGAAATGCTATAGTCTTCATATGTTCAATATTTCCAGTTTATTAAATCAATGTCGCAGAGAGTTTAAAAGAACCGACCAACAGATGGGCAATAGGGCCTAGATTTTCGAAGCTCTCTTAGCGCTAAGATAGTCGTAAGTTAATGTTAATGTATGGCACTTACGACTATCTTAGTGCTAAGAGTGCTTCGAAAATCTAGGCCCAGAAACTTAACCATGCCTTAAGCTCAGATTGATGGCTTAAAGGTCTGCTAGTAACACAATTCTGTAAGTGGATCATATATGTTATGATTATGTACCTTAGAAAATGGAGAGTGACTTACAGATGTTTTGGTAGAATTAAAGAAATGTGTCAACCAAGGAATCGATAAGCTGATTACCTGACCAAACATCCAGGGTTTGCTAGAGATATTCTTCGAGGTGCCACAATAAATCCTTCCAGTTTCGTTGAGCACATACTCTTCCTTCTCCTGTTGTCCTTCCAAGAAAACCATGTCATCTGTGAAAAGGAAAATTTAACAGCTCTGTACACCTTTAGTCTTACATGCTTCAGATGAGCTTACAAGCAGTTCTAGGAAAAACTAACAAACAACATCGTACAGCTGTAATACTGCTGAAACAAAGACATACTCTTGATATAGTCAGACTTGTACAATCGACTCTGTTTTTAGCAGAGATTTCTTATGGATGTGGACAGGGTTTTGTCGCTTCTATTTACATTCAGATATCATACCAGCCTGTAAGTACATGTATTCTGGATCAGGTTGGATTATGCTTAGTCTCTGAAAATATATTTTTGATAGAAACAAACAGCTACGATGTCATGATGTGATGACATAGCAAAAATATTCCAGATAACATTTCATTATTTATTCATTCTATTCATTCTATTATTCATTCAAAATAATAGATTCACCAAGGCAATACAGCTCAAGTTCTACTGAAGTATTTGTCAACTAAATAAGTTGTTTGATCAAGAATTCCTGGAAGTCATGAACCACTGGTCTATCAAAGTTGACACATTATATGGACCACGACGTCGACGTCTTTAATTGACAATTACTCTGACATTTCAACATTGATGGTTACACCATTTTCAAACAAATATATACTCATGCCAATAATGGTTGTCACCCCCCCCCACCCCAACCCCCACACACCTCACACCCACCTCACATCCCTCTCCAATTAAAAAAATTGAAGGGGGTGACAACCATTATTGGCATGAGTAAATATAAACAAACAGTATACATTAAAGTTGATATCCATAAATTGTGCTAGTCTGTCTCAAAGTCCCTGAACAGAATCATTTTCTCTTCCGCCAATCTCTATCTGTTGCGAAAGAACTTAATGATTCATCTCTATATTCTGAATATCCAGTCTTCTTCTTCATTTCAATAGTTATTTGTTTCTATGCAAAAATCTATTTACAGAGACAAAGATTTACTCTAAAACTGTGCCTACTTTAACAATGAAAACAAAGATCTTATAAACAACATCTCCCAAACATCAACAAGATGTTATTAACATCTCCCTAACATCAACATGACATTATTAACATCTCACAAACTGACTGACTGACTGACTGACTGACTGAATTTGGTTTTACACCGCTTTAAGCAATATTCCAGCAACATCATGGCGGGGGACACCAGAAATGGGCTTCACAAATTGTACCCAAGTGGGATGTTATTTGAACCAACAAGGTCTTCCCTAACATCAACATGACGAGCGAACGCTTAAACCACTAGGCTACCCCGCCGCCCCTCTCACAAACATCAACAAGATGTTATTAACTAAATGTCATAAACATCAACGAGATGTTACCTCGGCACCATGGGTTGAAGAGGATGTAGATCTGATCTTTGTGATTGTAGCGAAATATGATTTTCTTGTCATCCTTCTTCTTGATGACGTCCAGTTTGAAGTTCCACTTGGCCACATAGCATGTGGGAGGGGTGAACACAGTCACGGTGAGAACCTGGTCACTCTGCTTCTTGATCTTGGCCCCCCACTGCTTGGGCTCATCCTTGTCCGACAGGATCAACTCTACATGGGTTCCCTTGCTGGGAGTAGGGTTTCCTCCTGTAAAACAACATATATCCTTGTATTACTGGTTTTGGGATGGATAACAATATATGGATGAACAACTTCTTTATTACAGTGTAGCTTCTAACATGGGTATCAAGCAAGTGATGAACAGAATGAAGATAGAGAAGCATATACTAGTATACCAGGAGATGTTTGTACATAAAAAGGTGCGGATTAGGACTGCAAAAAGGGGAAGCCAGTAACATGGGGAAGCCAGTAACAATAAGTACACATAGCCTAGGTGAAAGAATTCCTCTCAAAGAAGTGGTTTTTGGATGTTCAAGAAATATTCATTTTTTTCTCATTAGGCCAGACCAATTTTATTTCTTGTTTTATGGATCCGCCAATCGTATTTGTTCAAGAATAAAATTTATTTTTTTATTTTCCCTGCTCAAAAAATAAAATCCTATTGTTTTTATTGGCCAAAAAGTCTTTGATTGTTTTTTGCCCCATATACACTTCATAAATTGCCAAAAGTAAAACACTTTTAGTATTTAAAAGTAATATTACTTTGACTGGTGATTTGTATTTTTCTTTTTTCCCCCTCCTGCCTTTAGGTTTTCTGAGGACCAAAATCCGTAAAGAAAAAAATAGAATTGGTCTGGCCTTAATCACATAAACGACTGAAAAAGATATCTCTCACTTCTAAAGGACATGTTTAAAGCAAGCCATCTAATACTTACAATGTCTGTGTGACACAACACACCTTGTTATACTGAGTGTAAATATAAAAGTCAAAAGAATATCAATCTTCACTATCCACAGGAATAGATTCCATTCGGTATAATAGGGCAAACTAGCTGTGCAGCATATATGAAATGACAATTGAAAATTAGTGATGACTCCATGTGTTTGCAAGCACTAACGTCTTAAAACATAAACTTTAAACGGCACATGTCATCATATATGGACACATTAATGACAATGACTCCGGTGTGTCACAGGTAACCTTTGCATGGATCACCAAGTACTATACAACATGCCAACACTTGAGAATATTCATCTCTGCCAAAAGAGATTCCTTTTGGGGAAAAGATGTTATGAAAATCATATGCATGGATCACAAAAACTACAAGGACTGTACAGGAAATATTACTAGTTGTGTAACATATCCTGCTCATTACATTACAAGCTGCAGCATCCTTGGTACACTATTTCCAGAAGACTCCAGACAATTAATACATCCTGGCATGCATTTCAATTATCTTGAACTCGTGCAAACACATTCTACTAAAACCTCACACTTGACTAGAGCACCAGCATAGCGTACAAAGACTGGAGGTCAAGAATACAGTACAAGATTTGAGTACAAGAATAATGTCCATGATTTGACTACAATAATAATGTATCAAATTAAAGTGTAAGAGTGAATAAGTTTAGCAATATTCCAGCAATATCATGGCGGGGGACACCAGAAATGGGCTTCATACATTGTACCCATGTGGAGAATCGAACCCGGGTCTTCAGTATGAGGAGGGAATGCTTTATCCGCTAGGCTGCCCCACAACCCCCACAGATAAAAGAGTATATTAGGGGTTAACAGAGTTGCCTCCTTGCTGTGGAGAATCCAATCTTCTTTTACCAAATGAACTGCAGATTTAACCTCAGTACGGTGGTGTTTTGAGGGGTAAGTATTTGTAAAAGTAGATTTTATTGCTATTTTTTCAAGTTCACAGAACATCTTATTTGACTAAGATCTATGTTGTCTTTGCAGATTAAACAAGAAATAAGGAAAGGCATCAACATCTGCAGTGCAATAGAGAGTGGGAATGATTCAGAAAAAGACACAATGACCCTGTTTTATTGGCAAAATAATATTCCGAAATGACTGACTGACTGAGTATGGTTTTACGCCGCTTTTAGCAATATTCCAGCAATATCACGGCAGGGGACACCAGAAATGGGCTTCACACATTGTACCCATGTGGGGAATCGAACCTGGGTGTTCGGCGTGACGAGCGAACGGCTTTAACCACTAGGCTACCCCACCGCCCCTATTCCGAAATGATGTCAGGTGCAATTATCAGTTCAGTTATCATATGTCCCTGTGTTTGTATACTTGCACTTCCTTGCCTTTGCATGTGTTTATGATAGATGCCACATGTTGGGCCTAATTTTTCAAGATGGATGCTTATCAAGTAAATAATAATTTCTAAAAATCAAAACTTTCCATGAATACATGACATGTTTTATGGATAACAACTTCTTTTTTATTCTTTACACGACGTTTCAGAGCTAATTCTTGCTCCTTCATCAGGTGAATGTTCCACTCACAACCTTTCTTAAACCCATGAGATGGATTTTACAAGTTGTTGGTATCACTACCAACACGTTCTTCCACATTCCAGACCTGAGGTAACAGATAATAATAATAATAATAATAGCACATATCCATGCTTAAGCATCCTCAAAGTAAAATGCAATTAAGGTAAAGAGGTTAAGATGAAAGTCTTAGTCTTTAACATGTGTGTTTTTTCAAATTGGACCTAAAGGTTTGAAAGTCACAACAGTCTCTGAGGCTCTGCGGGAGGCTGTTCCAGGCCATTGATCTTACATGAACAAAGGACCTGTTTCAATACTGCACTGTCTTAGCTTTGGGAACAACAAGTGAATTGTTATCGTATGAGCGGAGAGATCAAGAAGACGTGTACACAGTTAGAAGATTGGAAGTTCCACTGAGACTGCGGAAAACAAGACATAAGAGTTTAAACTTGATCTGGAACTCGGCTGGAATCCTGAGTACAGTATAGGAGTAATGTTTTCATATTTTCAAGATGCAGGCAGCGACGTTCTGCACTCTCTGCAGCTTGGCTATCTGGGTCTTTCCAATAAGGTGCAATAATCAAGTTTACTCATTACACGTGACGATACAAGAGTCTTGGCAGAATAAACTGAAAGATATTGGCGAATATTTCCAATGTTGCGGAGTGACATGAAACAGGTTTTGACAAGATGAGATATATGAGAGTTGAGTGACAAGATTGAATCTAGGAACATGCCAAGGTCTTGGATTTGATCACCAAAGTAGATAGATGAATTATCAAATTCCAGTGAGATGACTCCACACTTGGAGTGACCTCCGCTCCTCTGGACCAAGGAGATGCATTAACTTCACCCTCCATATAGCTTTGTGTTGACACTATCTTCCTGGAGATCAGTAGTACAATTTAGAGGAGCAGCCTGTATGCTGATAACTATAAACATAGTTTTTGTTCAGGTGCTGCTGCAAGAATTAGCCCAGTCTGACATATTTGCTATTAATACAAAAGTATTTAAGCAATGCCAAAAAGTTTCTGGGAACATGCCAGTTAACAGCTGAAGGATTCTTTTCAATCTAAAAAGAAGGAGGGATATCAACATATTTGACTGAAAAGATTCGCTTTTAACATTTTCAAGTTCGGGACTGGGCATGTATTTATCATGGGTGGGGAGTTTTGTTTAAGGACTGTATGATATTTGCTGACATCCGCGGACCCTTTTTCATTGAACACCTGCTTCCATAATTTCTGTTTCTGACATCGCGGTCTTAGACAAACTTACCTGCTTGGAAGACTAGCCTTAAGTCATCCTTGTTTTGTCATATAGCCTGTTGTTAAGGACAAACTTACCTGCTTGGAAGACTAGCCTTAAGTCATCCTTGGTTTTGTCATATAGCCTGTTGTTAAGGACAAACTTACCTGCTTGGAAGACTAGCCTTAAGTCATCCTTGGTTTTGTCATATAGCCTGTTGTTAAGGAACAAACTTACCTGCTTTGAAGACAAACTTTAATTCATCTTTGTTTTGTCATTTGGTCTGTTGTTAAGGACAAACTTACCTGATTAGAAGACTAGCCTTAAGTCATCCTTGGTTTTATCATATGGTCAGTTGTTGAAAGGACAAACTAACCTGCCTGGAAGACTAGCCTTAAGTCATCCTTGTTTTGTCATATAGCCTGTTGTTAAGGACAAACTAACCTGCCTGGAAGACTAGCCTTAAGTCATCCTTGGTTTTGTCATATAGCCTGTTGTTAAGGACAAACTAACCTGCTTGGAAGACTAGCCTTAAGTCATCCTTGTTTTGTCATATAGCCTGTTGTTAAGGACAAACTAACCTGCTTGGAAGACTAGCCTTAAGTCATCCTTGTTTTGTCATATAGCCTGTTGTTAAGGACAAACTTACCTGCTTGGAAGACTAGCCTTAAGTCATCCTTGGTTTTGTCATATAGTCTGTTGTTCTGGACAAACTAACCTGCTTGGAAGACTAGCCTTAAGTCATCCTTGTTTTGTCATATAGCCTGTTGTTAAGGACAAACTGACCTGCTTGGAAGACTAGCCTTAAGTCATCCTTGGTTTTCTTCTATAGTATATTGCTCTGGACAGCCTTACCTGCTTGGAAGACTAGCCTTAAGTCATCCTTGGTTTTCTTCTATAGTATATTGCTCTGGACAGCCTTACCTGCTTGGAAGACTAGCCTTAAGTCATCCTTGGTTTTCTTCTATAGTATATTGCTCTGGACAGCCTTACCTGCTTGGAAGACTAGCCTTAAGTCATCCTTGGTTTTCTTCTATAGTATATTGCTCTGGACAGCCTTACCTGCTTGGAAGACTAGCCTTAAGTCATCCTTGGTTTTCTTCTATAGTATATTGCTCTGGACAGCCTTACCTGCTTGGAAGACTAGCCTTAAGTCATCCTTGGTTTTCTTCTATAGTATATTGCTCTGGACAGCCTTACCTGCTTGGAAGACAAGCTTCAGGTCATCCTTCTTCTTGTCGTATGGTCTGTTGAAAGTGATGGAGATGTCAAACGGTTGTCCACGCCTAACAACCAGTTTAGGCTCCTCCGTCTCTTCTGGGTCAGTGATGTCATATTCAGATGTGTGGTGGGCAACAGTATTCTCGGCAATGTTGAAGTCAATGCTCTCCACTCCCAGAACCTCCTCCTTTGGGTCAGGTTCTGAAAATACAACACATTGCAGCTGTACTTATCATTTGTCTACACAACACACTACAGCTGTACCTATGATCTGTCTACACAACACACTACAGATGTACATGATGTACTTATGTATCTGTGTCTACACACACATTGCAGCTGTACTTGACCTGTCTACACAACACTTGCAGCTGTACTTATGATCACATTGCACTTACAGCTGTACTTATGAGCTGTACTGTCTACACAACACATTGCAGCTGTACTTATGACCTGTCTACACAACACATTGCAGCTGTACTTATGATCTGTCTACACAACACACTACAGCTGTACCTATGATCTGATCTGTCTACACACATTGCAGCTGTACTTATGATCTGTCTACACTTATGACACACAACACATTGCAGCTGTACTTATGATTTGTCTACACAACACATTGCAGCTGTACTTATGATCTGTCTACACAACACATTGCAGCTGTACCAACATGACCTGTCCATACACAACACATTGCAGCTGTACTTATGATCTGTACACACTACAGCATCATTTGCCTACACAACACATTGCAGCTGTACTTATGATCTGTCTATACACAACACATTGCAGCTGTACTTATGTCTACATCTGTACACAACACATTGCAGCTGTACTTATGATCTGTCTACACAACACATTGCAGCTGTACTTATGATATGTCTACACAACACATTGCAGCTGTACTTATGATATGTCTACACAACACATTGCAGCTGTACTTATGATATGTCTACACAACACACTGCATTACTTCTAAAAAGATTCTTGTTGTAGCTGAACTAGACAAACACAACAGACTGCAGCTGTATGTATCATCTGTATACACAACACATCATAGCTGTCTTCACTAGAGACAGGCCTAGAACCAAATATACAGCTGCCTTATGTTTCAGGGCATTGTGGCATGGTCGGAATCTTTATGGCATTAAATGTAGACACTACTCTCACTGTTGTTTGGTGTCCAGAATTTCTCTACTTAGTGCCCTGTGTAAACATGATATATATGTCATGGTCACACCAATTGTTACACTTGTAATAGGGAATCAAGATGATCTGGTGTGGTGTGATGTAAAATGTTGTTTATTTTCAGCTGTACTTACTTAGCAAAATATACTTTATATTTCATATGCACTTACCTGTACATAGTGAAATGCATAATTGTGCGTTTGTTCTATGTGTCTTTACTTACTAGTGTGACTAGTATTGAGTCTCACTGGATTGGAGGCTCCGGACACAGCATACCGAGCTGACCGGTTTTATTACTTTATTGACCACCCCCACAAGCACTACAAGTACCTGATTTTACAGCGTTTGGTATGACAACTATGGGGCCGAACCCGTGGCCGACCTTCCCTTCCGCTCTACAGACATACGCTCTATCCACTACAGAGACAGCGAGCACTGAACCAGTGACCTTCCTATTTGTAAAAGAGCAGGGAGGTACATAGACTTGCACAAGTCCCACAGGATGTGATAACTAGTCACATAACTCCTAAAATAAATACATAATAAGAACAAGCTGTCAGTACGACAGCCAGAGTCTTAAGAACTATTGAACTATCCTCACTTCCGAATTATAGGACAGAATAACAATATATTGATGGATTCATTCAAAACAGCCTCATTGAAAGGCTAGAAGGAACAGCAAAAAGTTATAGGAAACTGCTGCTGACGGTTTGAGATCCTTGAATGATGCTCACCTATGATTTTCCAGCCTTCCACAGATATCAGAGTTGTATCTCGAGTGAGTTTTTTTCGTACACCCACATGACTGCTACCGTACGAAGTACGATCCACAGTCGTGCGGCCACGTGATGACGTTTCACCATCGACAGGTTGACTCTTTGTACATCCCATAATAGTCTCTTGTAGTCATGAATTTCAAATCTGTAGTAATACTAAGTCCCAAACATCCAGTGTTGAAGTTCTTTTGAAAAATATCCCAGTACTACAACTTCGGTTCCCACAATGAAATATCAACTGTCTGAATGAAATTTATTCAAAGAGTCAGTTTTTCTCCATGTAATAATTTTTATTCCTATTCACGTGGTGTTTGGTACTGTTCCCGATATTGGTCAGGGACGATTTCTAAATGTCACAACATTCTCCCTGTCACATCCTTGTCAATTCTGGTAACACGTGTTGCTCAGTTTCACATTGATATGTAATATTTGCACATTCAGCACTGCTCCAACCTCTGGGCCAGTTTCACAGACAGAACCCCCAATGTTTTAGACTCTTGTAGATATCCTATATATAGAACACACACACATTAGATCCGAAGGTTTTGTATCCCCAGGAAATGGTGATAGAGGACTACAACTTGCAGTTTATTTCCAACTCTCGCCATCCAAGTAGGGCAACCTGCTTCTCCCTACAGATCACACCATCCTCTCAACATTCAAGTCAGGTTGTTATTTGTACACCTGATTTAGAACAGGCTGTTTCATCCATCCCTGCATGTCTGTCTCCCCACCTTGTGACATTAAACCCCCACTGAGCGTACACTGAAACCTACAGCATGGCTGACCTACAGGCTGTTCCCCATGTCAGTCATTGATGTTTCAATAACTGTTTAAAGGACATCTCCTGGATGTATTGTAGCATGACTGCTGTTCTATAAACCCCTGCCAGACCGAAGGAGAGGAATTTACAGAAAAAATTCAAACAATTTTAAAGAGACAAAAACATTTGCTTCGGATGCTGCATGTCCAGCAAAAATATGTTGAGAAAACAAATAAGATTTCCTGTATTTCTAAGGGTAAATATGTTTATTAATAGTGAGAAAATTGGATAATGAAGGATGTCCAGATTTCATTTAAACTTTAAAATACTTGTTTCACTTTTCATGTTTCCATTGTATCAATTATTTGATCTTCAGATAATGGTGATGATAAATTATTCAAATTCACTATTTCTGAAAATACATGAAAAGAAGATATTTCTAAAGTCTATTGAAGCAATACATACAGAAGGTTCCTAGTTCACAGCTATGGGAGTTTATAAAGTGAGGGGGCGGTGGGGTAGCCCAGTGGTTAAAGCGTTCGCTCGTCACGCCGAAGACCCGGGTTCGAGTCCCCACATGGGTACAATGTGTGAAGCCCATTTCTGGTGTCCCCCGCCGTGATATTGCTGGAATATTGCTAAAAGCGGTAAAACTTAACTCACTCACTCATTATAAAGTGAATTTAATGAACTTATTATGAAATTTTTATTCACACTGACTAGATATCTGCAAAATTATAATGATGTCCATGAATAATGAAGCTGATTTAATCATTTATCTGGCAATGTCACTAATTAGATGAGCAGAGCAGCATTGATTTTCCAAGATCTCTGACTAACATATGTTATATTCATAGCATTTTCCAGGAGAGTTGAATACAGTGCAAAACTCCTTAAATTATGTGTTGAATTAAAGGTTGGGCTGGCTGTGTTTATATTATGCACTGCCCAAAGATCAAATACACATTTAGTTCAGAGCGGTGTTCCTTTAACATAAACAACATTGCCTTGTTTGGGATTGACACCTGTTACGCAACATACAGCTACAGATATGGAAATACGAGTGTGTGCCATACAAACAGTAACTCATGCTTCACATAACAGTGTATAGTCAGTCATGAGAGAAATATTGATAATACATAGAATCAATGTACATGAAGGGGCCTTAAATTTACCACTCCAGTGATAGAACAGAGTGAATGAGTGAGTGAGTTTAATTTAGCAATATTCAGAGGTACAGATAAGCTGCGTATCTGCGTAAATTACGCAAATATTTATGTGAAAACTCAATTCCTATTAAGTCTATTGCGAAAAATACGCTTGAATTTTTGTAAATACTTAATAAAGTGATCTTACATGCATACACACAAAAGTGTCAAATCTTAGCTTGCGTACTGGTGGATAGATAAAATAACTGAGGTATATTGAGAGGTTCTATTTCAGGACATGAACTTGACAACTTGCAGTCTTTCTCATTGTTTCTCATATTCCAGATCAAATATAAATAACAAACACTAACATTTAAATTTTATTATATTTTTAAAATTAATGGATAATGGCAAAATACCCAACTGAGTTTGAGTGAGGTGAGTTTATTTATTTGTTTATTCAAAGGAAAATTTGGATACCCAATTGAGATGAACACAAGCGAGTACATAACTCAATGACCCAAAAAGTTATCTGTAGCTCTGAACATTCCAGCAATATCAAGGCGGGGAACACCAGAAATGGGCTTCACACATTGTACCCGTGTGGGGAATCAAACCCGGGACTAGCAAACGCTTTAACTCCAAGGCTATCTCACCGCCCCTTGAACCATGACCATGACTGACTTTCTGATCCAAGGTCAGACTATGGTCTGTTTGCAGTGAAATTGTACCAATGAATTTCACTTTAAAGAAAAATGTAAATCTAATAAAGTAAAATTAAGATCGTGAATCCTCATAATTTTACCTATTATTGGTTTGTATTACAAGGGGGTTGCTTATTAGATGAAACACCGAGAACAAGTAGGTCTGGTCTAAGTTAACGCTCATCACGTACCGCACGTGCATTTGTTTTACTGTTCCAACTACTGCACTTACCCCCTTGTAATACAAACCAATAATACCGATTTGAATCTATGATCGTTTGTTAAACAACTTTTTTCCTAAGATGAATAAAATTCTGAGATTTAAATGTTCAATTGGCAGGGTAAAATAAAGAGGATTCGCAATCTTAATTTCACTTTATTTCATTTACGTTTTTGTTTAAAGTGAAATTCATCCGTACGTTTTCACTGCAAACAGACTATACATGTCCAGATGATGACAGAGGTTATCCATTCACCAGCCTAGCAGGGTGGGGATGTCGTCCGTGGGATGTCTCCACCCTGCTATTCCCATATTCCAGGAACACTTGACAGGTCTAGGTACTGTTTGAGACAGATTTTGTGTGATTATTTATAAATGATGATATGATACACCAAACATCAAACATTTGTGTTTGGGGATGGTAAATAGTCTGTATTTGTAATACAATGTACTTAGTTCACCAAATTGACTGGTTATCAGATATCCTTATACAGGATGTTTACCATCCCGAAGTACGCCAGCGTATTAACCTTATATTTACATAGTGCAATCTGAACAACAGACAGGAAATATAGAGTTTCTCTATTGTGTCTTCACCACACCTAGACATAGAACTCAATCCACGTCCATCGGATATGATATCTTCATAGGACTCGAACAAAGTATTAAAGCTACCAATTCTCTCAAAATTGAGTTCAAAGGATCACATCAATAATGTGCATGAAGTTGGGGTGTGTTTCGGTGATTATTTTGATCTTGAGACATATGTTTTACACAAAATATGGAAGATTTTGTTATGTTTTTCTTTTTGTGAAACTAGTTGATATAGAGCACACCCCTAGAGACAGTGAGTGGGTGAGGTGAGTGAGTGTGTGTCTTTTTGTGAAACTAGATGATATAGAGCACACCCTAGAGACAGTGAGTGGGTGAGTGGGTGTGTGAGTGTGTGTCTTTTTGTGAAACTAGTTGATATAGAGCACACCCCTAGAGACAGTGAGTGGGTGATGTGTGTGTCTTTTTGTGAAACTAGTTGATATAGAGCACACCCCTAGAGACAGTGAGTGGGTGAGTGAGTGTGTGAGTGTGTGTCTTTTTGTGAAACTAGTTGATATAGAGCACACCCCTAGAGACAGTGAGTGGGTGAGTGAGTGTGTGAGTGTGTGTCTTTTTGTGAAACTAGTTGATATAGAGCACACCCCTAGAGACAGTGAGTGGGTGAGTGAGTGTGTGTGTGTGTCTTTTGTGAAACTAGTTGATATAGAGCACACCCCTAGAGACAGTGAGTGGGTGAGTGAGTGTGTGAGTGTGTGTCTTTTTGTGAAACTAGTTGATATAGAGCACACCCCTAGAGACAGTGAGTGGGTGAGTGAGTGTGTGTCTTTTTGTGAAACTAGTTGATATAGAGCACACCCCTAGAGACAGTGAGTGGGTGAGTGAGTGTGTGAGTGTGTGTCTTTTTGTGAAACTAGTTGATATAGAGCACACCCCTAGAGACAGTGAGTGGGTGAGTGAGTGTGTGAGTGTGTGTCTTTTGTGAAACTAGTTGATATAGAGCACACCCTAGAGACAGTGAGTGGGTGAGTGAGTGTGTGAGTGTGTGTCTTTTGTGAAACTAGTTGATGGCCGGTAGAGCAAACTACACCCTAGAGACAGTGAGTGGGTGAGTGAGTGTGTGAGTGTGTGTCTTTTTGTGAAACTAGTTGATATAGAGCACACCCCTAGAGACAGTGAGTGGGTGAGTGAGTGTGTGAGTGTGTGTCTTTTTGTGAAACTAGTTGATATAGAGCACACCCCTAGAGACAGTGAGTGGGTGAGTGAGTGAGTGTGTGAGTGTGTGTCTTTTGTGAAACTAGTTGATATAGAGCACACCCCTAGAGACAATGAGTGAGTGAGTAAGAGAGTGTGTGTGTCCCCCTAGAGCACAGTGTGTGTGTCTTTTGTGAGTGGGAGTGAGTGAGTGAGTGTGTGTCTTTTTGTGAAACTAGTTGATATAGAGCACACCCCTAGAGACAGTGAGTGGGTGAGTGAGTGTGTGAGTGTGTGTCTTTTTGTGAAACTAGTTGATATAGAGCACACCCCTAGAGACAGTGAGTGGGTGAGTGAGTGTGTGAGTGTGTGTCTTTTTGTGAAACTAGTTGATATAGAGCACACCCCTAGAGACAGTGAGTGGGGAGTGTGTGAGTGTGTGTCTATTTGTGAAACTAGTTGATATAGAGCACACCCCTAGAGACAATGAGTGAGTGTGTGAGCGAGTGAGCAAGCGATTTGAAGTTTTATGTCGCATCAGAATTGTTTCAGCCATATTGCTACCAAGTCTGCACATATACACATTTTGCATACCCCTAGAAATCCTACCAAGAGTATCAAATCCCATCCCCTAACAGTAGCCCACACTCACTCACATGGCAGATGAAATCCAGATGGTTCCATGTATGAGTGAATGACAAGGGCTTTAAGTGCCACCTCGTACAGAATTCCAGTTACATCATGACATGTTAACTTAATGTGGGAGAAAGACTGAAGAGAAGCATGCCAGAGATATTTACCAGTTTGGTAATCATATTACAGTGGCACCATGCTGGTAATCCCAGACAAATGATCGGGGCAAAACAGGATTCAAACCCATGTTCATAATTTTTTGACATGCCCAAGGGAAGCAACTCTGCCCAACAAACTGAGGCATCAAAGATGACTGCACCACCTGTGCCTCCAAGCTGCAGTGAGGGGACCGTGAGAGAATTAGGGATCGGCATCTCAGCTACATGCTATCAGTGACAGAAA